GTCTTTCTGGCCTGCTTTTCCTGGTGTCCCCAGCCTTGCTTAATGACGTCATCTTTTATTTAGTCATCCAACCACAAGTCACCAAATCATCGTTTAAAAATAAAGCAGCCTTTTTCCTTTTATAGAAGTTTGTGCAAGTTTACTATGGAGGGTACGTGTTGGCAGATTTTCTTCTGGAACAGTGTGAGAATGTGGACTTTCCCCACATATCGCACAATACTGGGTTGCTATCATTCTTTTTTATTTCTGCCAGTCTGATAGCTGAAAATGGTGTTATTGTTACTTTACTTTACCTTGATTAGTAATGAGTTTAAGAATTTTTTCCTGTAATTATTGGCCATTTGTATTCTTTCGTGAACTTCCTTTTTGTGTTTCTAACCCTTTTTTTTATCCTAGGGAAAGATTTGTTATTTTATTTACTTTGAGCATGTAAAATATATATTTTTTATAAATATTATAGGGAATTGTTAGTTCCTTGTTATATATTACAAATCCACCTCCCCTTGGTTTATCTTTCCATTTAATTTTTTTCTTTATCTTTTTCTTTTAATTTACTTTTTAAAATTGCCTTACAGAAGTTTAACTGCTTTTTGCGTAGCCAGTTTTTCCCCCTCTCCTGTCATGATTTCTGCTTCTGTAGCCTTGTGTGGAAAGGCATTTCCCATTTCAAGATTGTACAACCATTCATCTATATTTTTTCCCTCCTTTTGTTCTTTTTTTATTTTTTAAATCTCTAATGCATCTGATATTTCATGTCAGTAGCAAAATGTGAGGTCAGGAGCTACCTTTGCTTTTTCTGTTCTTCTCCAGTTGTCCGTAAAGCCTTCCCCTTGCCCAGGGCCTGCTGGCCCCCTCCCCGCCATCCAACAGGCAGGCAGGGGCACGGTTCTTTCTCTGTGATTAGTCATCGTTTTTCTTTCTGTTTCCAACATTGCCCTAGTTAAAGGCCTTATCATCTCACCTAGATTCCTGAAATAGTTGCCTAATATTTCCCTCTTGAATCCTTCTTCCATGCTGTTGTCCTGGTTACTCTTCTGTTTGAAAACTTGCATGGTTCCCATTGCCTGCAGATGAAATGCGAAGCTCCGGACACATCCCCACGGGCTCCTCCAGCACAATGATTTGTCACCCCCGGAGCATGCCATTTGTTCTCATGCCTTTTTGCCCTTTGAAAAGCTGTTTCCTTTATCTCAACTGCCTCCTTTTCCCATTTTTCACCTCTGAATACAATTTATCTTGCAAAGGTCAGATATCATCTCCTACTGTGGCCATCTGGTTAAGCATCTCTGTTCCAAGAAGGCGACCTCCGCAAAGGTGGGGACAGGTGTTCAGCACCTTTAATAAGTGTCGCACAGAACGGTCCATTAAAAGTGTTTCCTGAATGGATATGTAGCTGTCGGAGTAAATAGGTTTTCTTTTGGTAGGTTGATTTAAAATATGTGTACAATGAAGCTTTATAAAAAAACAGTCTAAATATGAAAGATAAATAAGAATTACGTGGAAGGAGAAGCACTCATTTTCACGCTGTGTCCCCTTCGCCAGGGCTAGCATGTCACACGCCTCTCCCTGGGCGCTGGGAGAGCGGCGCGCCGCGGTGCGCGGTGCTGCGGGGAGGCGGCCCCGGAGCCGCGCCTGTGTCCGCGGGGGCGCCCTCGGCGGCAGCCGCCGTTTTTGAAGGAGGCAGCGTGTTGCCGCACGGGAGTGGGCCTATAGCGTCACACCAACTTGGGTTCAAAAGTGAGCTTAGCCACTTGGAAACAAGGTGGGTATTTTTGGACAGGTTACTTTGCTTTTAGGAGCCTGTAGTGCTTACCTTATGGGGGTTTTGTAAGTGTCAAGTGAGATCACTCAGGCCAACTATTTAGCCTAATATCTGCCACATGGTGTTAGAGATGTGTGTGTGTGCGTTGCTCGTATGGAAAAGCAACCATTGAGGAGGATAAAATGTTGAAAGTTTCTGTCCATTGTTGGGAGAGGAAGGGCTAAGATCTCTTCCCTCCATTTGCTTCTCCTCTTACGAGAGATGCTCTTACTGTAAAAAGCGTGAGTTTCGGCGCGGCCGTGGCTGAGTCCTGCTCACAGGTCGGGTGTGCGGATGGCCCATCACCACTAGGCAGGGTATCCTCAGGACTTCTCTTTAAAGTGACTTATTTGTTAAAATATTTGTCCTTGTAGAAACGTTTGCACTTGAAGAAAAATGTGCAAACCCCACATTGTTGTCAGAATGATGTTCTGAAACGGGCCGGCTCAGGCCATCCCCCACTGACAACCCGGCAGTGTCCCCGCGGCTGGGGAGAAGGAAGGGCTCCATGGCCCTGCTGACCAGCCTTGCGCCCCCCAGCCTGCCCACTTCTCCGTCTTCGCCCCCCAGCGTTTCTCCCGCCCTTTACCTGCCAGCAGTGGCAGTGCTGAGCCTGTGCCATGGGGTGACCGGTGTTTTGGGCACGGTGACAGTGAGAGCCGGGTGGGCGGTGGGAGGGGAGGGGAGGCGGTGGGGCGGACGAGAAGGCGTTAATGAGCTTTCCAACCGTGAGACTCTGTGAGAATTGTTCAGATGGCGTTAAACAGGAGGCTTGGGGAAAAGTTGTGCTGGCTAACAATTTTTCTTTTGTGCATAAGTTGTTTTATTTTTTATTTCAGCTTCTTTGAGATATAATTAACACACAGCATTGCAAGGTACTTTAAGTATACATTGTCACAATTGGTTATACATATACATTGTGAAACAACCATGTAGTTAATTAATATATCCATCATCTCACATGTTTATGTATTTTGGTGAGAACATTTGTGTTATACTCCCAGCAAATTTCAATTATACAATATAGTGTTTTCCACCGTAGTCACCATGTTTTACATCGTTGAGGTTTTTCTACTGTTCCTTTGTGTGTGTCTCTGTGTTTAAGATTCCACATGTAAGTGACACCATGCAATATTTGCCCTAGTGGCAGGACTTTCTTCTTTCTCCTACTGAATAATATTTCTTTATACACACAGGCGCGCGCGTGCGCCCCACGTCTTCTTTATCCATTTATATGTTGAGGGACAGTTGGGTTGTTTCCATATCTCGACTGTTGTGAATAATGCTGCAACGAACATGTCTTCGTTCAGACAGTTCAGACCTGTCTTTGATATCCAGGTTCCGTTTCCTTTCCTTTGGGTGTATACCTGGAAGTGGAACGGCGGGATCACGCGGCACTTCCATTTTTAATTTTTTGAAGGACCTCCACGTTGCCATCATAGTAGCTGCACCAATTTACCCGCCCCCAGTGGTGCACAGGGGTTCTCTTCTCTACGTCCTCCCCAGCACCTGTTACCCCTGGCCTGGCCGGGACGGCCTGCCTGCTGGCTTATTCCAGCCCCTTGGCCTCTGCGCGCCCCTTCCGCCACAGCTGCCTTTTCTTCTGGCCCGACGCTTGCGGGATGTGTAAGGTGCTGCGCTTCCCTGTAGTAAACGTCCTCGTGCAGCTCCTCGTCAGGGCTGCTTATGGCCGTTCGGGGCGGGAGGCGCAGATGGGGGCTGTGGGGGAGGTCGCGAGCCCCTCCTTCCACTGGGGTGTTAACCCGGGTAATCCCGGGGCGGGGGGCTGCGCAACCCCGGGGACTGGCTGGGATTCAAGACAAAATCTCTTACTGTGCTGTTCCTTTATCGTCTTCTCTGTGTGTTCACCTCATTTTGAGAAGTAATTTTTTCTTCATGCTGTTGCATAAAGCTCTGTTGCTGACTTACAGTAGAGCTGTCCCAGGCTTGTTCCTGTTCATGAGGTCACAAGCCTGCCTTTGCCCTGAGAGCCAGGCTTGCCCAGAGCGGTTTGCTTGTCCTTTTCTCAGTAAAATATCGGAGGGGTTATTATACGAGATTTGTCCTGAGACTACAACTACTTTCCCTACCAATGACCTGCACTCTTTACCATGTTTCCCTCTGGTCTTTAGACTCTTCCAGAAGTGTAGTTTGGATTTTGTAACTGTTACAAAGTGCAATCTCATTTAGTTACTATGGTATTTCTTCTGGAAAACTCATTTGTTTCCTCCCTCCCTCCGGCATTTAAGTTCTACCTGAAAGAAATGTCAGAAGGGAAAATTTCATTCATTATCATTCAGTTTAAGAAATAACCCCAAAATTCTCTGGTCGAATCTGAGTAGAATAATTTTAAATTAGAGGTTTTAATCTGAGAGTGAATGAAATCTCTGAAATACAGATATTTATGTATATGTGTATTTTTCTGGGGGAGGATCTATGGCATTTCTTAGACATTTAAAGGATTCTGCCATTTAAAAAATGGTTTAAAAACATTGCCCTAAATGATTTTTAGTTACATACCTTTCTGCTTGTAGAAAACATGCAATTAAACTCTGTGATTTGTTTTATCTTGGGCTTTCCGGAAATCTTGTGAAAGGCTTTCAAGGGGTGAAATATACTTTTTCTTTTCCCTTTACAACCTCCTTTCTTCTGAAAACTACTTAATTCATTTTTATTGTTTCCATTAGAGTTACCTTCAGTGTTTCAGCTGAGATAATTGACTATGTTGGCAACCCAAGACAACCGTAAAACCTTGAACCTGGAAGTTCACTGTGGGTTCTGAATTATAAAACCAGAAGAGAACTTCAGCACTAAACTTAAACTTCTGAACAGCTGAGATGATGGCTTCAGTTACAAGTAGTTTTTCTTAGGAGCTTTTAAGGAGTAACTTAAGGACTGAGAGAAAGGATCCGAGGTTCATGGGGCAGTTGGGACCTGGGGAGCCAGCTGTCTCTGTTGCGCAGGAGCAGAAAGTAGGGTAGACAAGAAGGTGGCATTTATGCTCAGGAATCTTCCTAAGGCCCCTGCCTCCCAGACCTGACTGGGCAAGGACCGGGATGTGTGTGATATTGGATCTTAAAAGAGCGTTGCTTATGGTCATCTTAAGCCTCTCCAAGGAGATTGGAAATGAAGCTTGAATTTTCTAAGGAGTGCTTCAGACCTTCCTGCCTTTTCTCAAGTCCCCTCTTCCTTTGTGCAGGTGGATGGAAGCCTGTCTTGGGGAAGATCTGCCCCCCACCACAGAGCTGGAGGAGGGGCTTCGGAATGGGGTCTACCTTGCCAAACTGGGAAACTTCTTCTCTCCCAGAGTGGTGTCCCTGAAGAAAATCTACGACCGAGAGCAGACTAGATACAGGGTGAGTCCTTTCTTGCTTGGTGCTTAAATGTTTGTAACCCTGATAAGAGAAAGTTAGCGCACTTTATCGTGTGTAAGAGTTATTGAGAAATATGTTTATTTTCTCCACTGGCTGAGTGGAGAAAATAGTGCAAAGTCAAGATATGAAGTAAAAGAACATCAGCCATCTGTACTTCTGGCACGTTTCTTATGATGGTGGGTATTATCAAGGTCCTTGATGATTTTTTTATTTCTTAGAAGGTAGAGGAAGTAAGTAGGGGAACTACTACTTTAAATCTAATTTTAACCCAGCACTGAAATTTGTTGGCAAATTGAAAGCAATTTTAGGAAAAAAGATCATCCTGTGATATGAGACTTTGAGATAAAATGGGAAAGTGATCCGGTTTCAGAAAATTGAGATAAGTGAAAGGGTTTGATTGTTGTGGCCCAAGGCCCTGAAAAAGAAGACTGCTTAGTTAGATTGACAAGGACCACAATCTGTTGTCTGCAGAGCTCGTGGGGAGCTTTCCTGCGAGCTCTTATTTGAAAAAAGGATGCCTATAAAAGACAGTGAAAGATTGCAAAACCAAGAGCAAATATGAAAGGGGTTGATTATAAGAATTCAGCCAGAACTCAGAATGAACTAAGGGTGAAGATAGAATCAGAGGAGATTTTTGTGTTTTATGTGTAAATTTAAAGGAAAACAAGGACGGTATAGACCGTAAGCCAAATTAAAATCTCAAACGGAAATTTTTCTTAATCAAAAAGCAAATACTTACATAGTGAGTTTTAAATGAGTGGTTATTCTGAAGACCTCTCAGGGCTGTTCTGTTCAGAGTCTAGCGGATGTGTGAGAGAGCAGCCAGGCTGTAAGGAGGAGCAAGGCCGCAGCCACAGAGAAAACTACAGTCCCGCTTCAACGCCGCTTGAGGGTGAATCTTCCTGAAAAATAAGACATAGAGCTTTAGAGGGGGCGATTTGTATTTGTAGCATGGAAACCCTGATATTTAAGTATATTTAATAATATGGATCCCTTTGTATCGTCTGCCAGACACCCCACTGAGGGCTCTTTGTATGTTTTCTCATATAATCTTTACAACAAACATGTAAAGTAGGTGTTACAGATGGGAAGCTTGGACTCAGAAGGGCGAGATCACCGCCCAGTGTCACTAGCAGAGGGCCCAGCAGGAAAGGGAACCCAAGATAAGCGAATGCCGAGGACCGTGTTCTGCCGTGTGCACTAGATCCAGGGAGACCGTCCGGATGGTTCTAAGTGAGAGGAGCGAAGATGTGGATCTGGCTTTTCGGATTGGGAATATGAACGTAATGCTGTTGACAGACATTGAATTAAGGAGGACCTTGTGACGTCTCACAAGGAAACTTTTGCAGTAGAGGTTTTACTTAGTATCTGTGTCACTATTGCCAACAGTGCCTAACGCTTTTTCACTTGTTCCAGGCGACTGGCCTCCACTTTCGGCACACGGATAACGTGATTCAGTGGCTGAACGCCATGGATGACATCGGCTTGCCCAAGGTGAGTGACGCGCTCGTCCTGGCCCTGGCTCTGGTCTGACCGTCTTGGTGTAAGGTTCTAATTTTGCCTGTAAAAGTGTTCTTTATTTTTTAACCGAATCTGTGGTGATTTTTTTCCAAGAAAGTACTTGCTATCTCTTTCTCCTATTTTTTTAAAAAGATTTTATTTATTTATTTTTAGAGATGGGAAGAGAGGGAGAAAGAGAGGGAAACATCAATGTGTGGTTGCATTTCGCATGCCCCCTGCTGGGGACCTGGCCTGCAACCCAGGCCTGTGCCCTACACTGGGAATTGAACTCATGACCCTTTGATTTGCAGGCTGGCGCTGAATCCACTGAGTCACACCAGCTAGGGCTTGCTCTTCTATTTCTTTTAGAAAATAGTTTTTGCTCTTTTTCTTTTATATTCCTCATCTGGGCTTCACCTTGCCCTAGAGAAATTCCCTATGATGTCATTTACTTTTACTGCCAGTTGCAGACCTACACTGAAATTCACATACCACAAAATTCACCCTTTTAAAGTTTACAGTTCAGTGTTGTTTTTTTTTTTAAATTATTATTCACAAAGTTGTTATGTCAAAATTTGACTTAAGGAAATATAAGAGAAGGCTTTAGAAATGTCATCTTCCAGCTTCGGAATAACCAAATTTATAGGTAGTATGAAGGGTCATTTTATATTTCAAATTATTGAGGCAATATAATGACATTTACTCATATCTAGTTTTGGTCATGGCTGTAGGGTTGTTTTTTTTTTAACACCTTTATTGAGGTATAATTGATGTACAGGAAAACCATACATAGTATATACAGCTCGGTGAGTTCAGAGCGGTGGCTGTAGTGTTGATAATGGCGGTGTGTGCCCTTCAGTGTCTTGCTCGGGAGTTTATCTGGTGTTGCTCTTAGCGAAGTCGCTGTCTCCCGCCGCCCAGCCCTCCCTGCCGCCCGTGAAGGCTGTGCTGTGTCGTCGCTCTGCCAGGCACGGACACCTTTCTCCACCTTCCCGCCTCGTACCTGGGACCTAAGAGTTCCCCTTCTAGGAATTTATCCCCCTACCAAAAGATCGGACAAACACAAAAAGATGTAGGTGCAAGGAGTTTTTACCTTGCTTTTGGTAGAAAAAATTGATAGCGAACCACATGTTGCTTCACTAGGGGTCTGACCTGGGTGACAGCCAGGCAGCGAGGCCGGTGCAGTGCAGCCTGTAGAAGGGCTGACATCGCCCCGTATTGACGAGGGAAGCTGTCTGTGGTGTGCTAAGTGGGAAAAGGTATGATAGGCTCAGGTTATAAGGATTTGTGCTTTGGCTAAGATGAGATTACTATTTTTGTGTAAAAATAAAGAGTAATCTTGGGAAAACTATAAAGGAGATACAGTTTTCATTTCTGTGGGATGGGATTGGGTTTGTTTTTTTTTCCTTCATACTTTACTATAGACTCTAAATTTTTGTAACCAAAAAACTAAAATGAAGAAAACGAAAGTGAGATGTGGAGTATTAGGAAGTGGCTAAAACCACTGGGAAGTGACTATTTGGTGTTCACAGTACTGAGCTTACTGTTGCATATCTGTCTGTTGAATGGACTAAAATCCAAAGAGTCTTTGTAGAAGATGAGATTTTGTCCTCTTCCCCCCTCCCCCACAGCGTAGTGCTAAAAGTTTTCTTCCTTGCACTGGTAGGTTTGAGAATTAGGCCCCACAAATGTCAGGAAATGCAATACGTCAAGTTGTGATGGCTACTTGGCACCTGTAACTTCCTGTTCCTGTTTTTTATGTGCCATGCCCATTGGGCAGTGACGATTTAGCCTCTTTTGAATGGCTCTAAGAGCTTTGTTGATGCTTGCTATTGCTAGTAATTGTTATTATAAAATGCTTTTTTAATGATGGAATTTTAATTGCCTTTTTTTGTTGACTAACAGTAGTGCATTGTCCTGGACCACAATTTGCAACAAACATGGACTTCCCAAAGGCTTTTAGGGACGACAGGTTTTCAGGGCTGTTTCGAAATGTCCTTCTACGTGACTCAGGTCCAGCAGACTTTTGAGTGCTGTAGACTACAGATACCTAGCCTAGAAATGGAGCATTGGCCATAATGTGATGTATGATACGCAATTGGCAATTCATATGTAGTGTTTATTGGAGTAACTTCCCTAATCTCTTTATATGGTACATACAGTTCATTATAGAAACTCACTGTGATAATTTTTTGGTTCTTATCCTTTTTGACTATTTATTATAATTGGTGCAATTGGCCACTTCCTCTATGAAATATTTTGTTATTTTGAGTTTAATTTTTTAAATTGTTTTTAACCTGCCCAGCTAAGTCCTCTGTTTCCTTCCACTATTTCATCTTCTGTATCTTAGTGGTGGGCATTACTTGAGATGCAGTCCTTATTTTAGCTACATTCTCCCATTCTCAAGATTTCAGTTATCTTGAAGACTCTTTTAAGATAAGCAGAGTGCCTTCCATTGGGCGTTTCTTCTTGGATAGCTTTCTGTCACCTGCACATCTGCAACTAAACCTGCCTTTTCTGTCACACTGACTTCCCTCCTCTCTAATAAAGGGAACCTTGCTACCGTTTTCCCAGCTGCCCAGCCTCGGAACCGCGGGGTTACCTCGGCCTCCAGTGCAAGTGCCCCCCAAGCCGTCCTCATGGCTTTGAAGCGTCTCGTTTGTCTGCTCGAACAGCCCGTCGGCCCCTGTAGCCTCTGTCTCCTCGCTATTCGCTGTATCCTGTGTCTTGTCTCCAGTCAATCTTCCTGAGGCTCTGAGGCTCTGTCTTTAATCCTTGGCTCCAAAGTTAGGACTTCTCTGTGGCCTGCGTATCAAGTTCAAACTTGTCTGACTTTCAAGGTCCTCGTAATCTGATTCCATCCTACCTACCAACCTTACTTTTCTGGTACTGTCTGAAATGCATGCTGTACTGTTTTCGGGAAGGCCAGCTCACTGCGATTTTCACCTTTCAGGAGAGGACAGCCCAGTCTTGGGAAGAGGGCATGTAGGAAGTTGGGAAAATTATCAAAGAAAGATGATGTTGCGCTGACTGGTGTGGCTCAGTTGGTTGGGAATCGGTCCACAAAGTGAAAGGTCCCCGATCGATTCCCTGGTCGGGGCGCATGCCTGGGTTGTGGGTTCGGTTCCCAGTTGAGAAGCGTATGGGGGGCAACCGATTGACGTTTCTCTCTCACATTGATGTTACTCTCCCTCTCTTTCTCCCTCCCTTTTCCTCTCTCTAAAAATAAATAAATACTTTAAAAAAAGGATGATTCTAATACAACCTGTTTCTCAAGGGGGGAAGTTCTTGCAGTGGAGAGCCAAGATTATTGTGGGAAGAGCATAAAAACAAAGAATTAAACACAATGTGTTTAAGTTGCTGAAAGAGATACCAAGTGCTGTAGTGCTCTCTCCCACTGCCTTGTCAAACTTCTCCTAGTTACCTCATAATTCAGTTTTTACCTCTCCAATCCATTGTTATTCCTTTTTTCCCCTAAATTACAGAATGAATTGTATGGTGCCTCATTACCATGAGAATAGGTTTTGAAGTTCAAGGCTATTCCCAATCCAAACCTACTCTGTTTCTGTGGACCTCATTCATAAATTCATCAAACATAGAGCTCCTTCCATGACCTTGGCTCTGGGCTTGGCTTTGAAGATACAGCAGTGAACAACTTAGACGTGGCCGCTGCCTTCATGGGGCTTATAGTCTGTTGGAGGCGTCAAACAGATGTCAATGCAAATAATTGATTAGTTGTGCTAAGTGCCACCAAGGGAACATACCCATCTCCCACAGTCCCGTCCATACACATCCTCTGTTCTAGCTATTCCATCTGTGTATCTTTCCAGTTCCCCCCAGCAGTATAACACATCTTAATATTTTGGAGTTTTTTCAATGTCTAAATACAGTGGTTTCTATAGATTGAAGCACTTAGTTAATGTTCGATGTTGAATTACTCCTCAGTCTAGGCATGGTAGCCATGCCTAGGTAGTAGCCAGCAAGACGCAATCCTTCAAAGCCAGTGTTTTAAACTGGACTAGAGTTTAGGTTTATCTGCCCTTGTCTGAGCCTGCAGTGCATGTCACCTTCACAGAGCTGGGGAAGTTCGGTGGGCTGACCAAATACGGCTTTTTCAAGCAGTGGTTTTCATTCTGTATTGTAGCATTTTATCCCTTGCATTACTTAGGATGAAATGTCTCTTTACCCTAATGAAATTATTTACTGAATGCCAACGATGTTTTCTAATTGTCTGGTGTTTTATTTGTATTACTGATTATTGTTGAAGAGATCAAAAGAAACCCAATGGGTGGATACCTTACTCTACTTCTTTTGTTTCTCCTTAGATTTTTTACCCAGAAACAACAGATATCTATGACCGAAAGAACATGCCAAGATGTATCTATTGTATCCATGCACTCAGGTAATCCAGTTTTCGTGATAAAATAAGCAGTGTACATAGATACAGAGAACAGGCATTCTCTTTCTTTTTAATTAAAATCTCTTAAAAATTATAAAAAAGTATGTATTTGAAAGAGTTTATGGTTTACTATTCTGTTTCAAACTGATAGGCTGAATTACAAATAGACTATGTCTTGATACTTTAGTAGTTCAATCCAATTTTGTCAACATCTTCAAATAATACCAGTAAATATCAAATGGTTGATTTATAATTTATTTAGTTATCGACATCCTCACCAAGACATTTGTTCATTAAATAATTTTTATGGCAACACAAATAAATAGGAACGGACACAAAGTAAAATTTTTTCACAATTTTATAGTAAACTTGGAAGATGGCTTCATTTTAGATTCTGACTCTTAGAATCAACAAAGTTCAGAACTGGGAGGGGGAGGCGGTGTGTATGGGGATGGGAGCAGGCACTAATAACAGCAGAGCGTCCGCGTCTGCCTGGCAGCATGGACTGGCGGAGGGGCTTGTCCGAGTGTGATTTCCTGCTAGGGCTTCCCATTTAACGTCGCATCCTGTATGTGTGCTTAATGTTAATTGTATTGATATGAATGCATGTAAAATACTGACCCATAAGACACGCATTTTCTCCATTGTGGTCAAATTCATGCCAGAGCCTTGATTTCCCCGGAACCAATGTGCAACCCACAAAAGAACTAGGGAATCTCTTCTGTGGACTTACGTATTAACTTCCTTTCTAGGCAGTTCCCTCTGTAGGCTCTCTTCCTTCTGGTCTGTCTGCCGTGCTGTCCCCAGAGCTATCTTTCCAAACCAGCCCTGCTCATATTAGATTATCTGTAAGGTATTGTGGACAGCTCTTTCCAGCCTCAGCTCTAGCCGTTCCCCACTCGGGAGCTGTGCTCCGGTCTCTAGTCTTAGGCGGACGCCGTGCAGGGCCTTTGCCTGTGCTGTTTCCTTGGCCTGAAGGCCCTTTCTCCTGCTGGCTCGGAGGGCTACCTCTTCTTTGATACATTTTTAAAACTTTTTATCTTTCAGGCATAATTAGTTACTTCCTGTCTTTGTGCTTCTTTTACTTCAAGTATGGTGCTTGTTACATTGTAGTCTGGTTCTTTGCTCTTACACAGAACTTGCTTTTTGTGGACCCCTTGGTGGCAGGAACGATTTCCTTTATTCTTCACTTATCTTTGTGTGTCTCTAGCACTTAGATGCCTGGCAAATAGTTGGTAAACAACTAAAGTGTGTCCAGATCATACATTGTAACAAATCTTCCTGCCCCCTCCTTTCACTCAAGGGGATATTTTCTGCCCTATAAATACATATAAAAGGCAAGTGGTATTTTCCCTTTATCAGACGACTTTGTTTGTCTTGGCCTAGCCAGTGACATCTTAGCTCTGTTCCCACTGTCTTGGTGACGTTTTGTGATACCCAGTGACTCCAGGTTGTGCCTTTGTCCAAACTCCAGTGGTGTGTTTGTTTGTTCTATTAGCTTTGGCTTTTTAGTTATATGCTGTCTCTTCCATGTGTTTAACCTTTTCTCCCTGTTGCATTATTAGCATCTTAGGGACAGAGGCCATGCCTTACCCATTTCCCCTCCAGGGCACATGGAATAATGTTGGGCAGACAATGGGAACGTGAGAATTCTTTAAAAAGGTTGAGGAATGGGTGATGTTGAGGGGAATTTTCAGATTGTAGCAATTGGAAATGGGTATGTCTGAGCCAAAATCAGCTTAATTCTGACTGACTTCCTGTTAGCAGAGGTCTGTCTGTGTAGATAGCCTTGGGCAGGCTGCAGCCACAGAGGTGCTTGCAGGGGGCGGCACTGGGCCCCGCCCCTCTTTGCAGTCACCAGTGCCTGCAGTGCGGCCTGGGTCCCAGGTCCTCACAGCCTCTGGAACGGGGCCGAAGAGTTAACTGCCTTTCTGATGACGGAGTCAGGGTGAGAAAGGGAGGAAGCCTGCTATTGTTTCCATTCTCCTCAGCAAGCAGCCTGTGCTTGGAAAGTGTATGCAGAGCGCTGCGCTCAGCCCAGTGATTTCTGATTTCTGTCCTCCTTACTAGTGTTTTTGCTGAGGGGGGGTGGACAACACTTGAGAATATGCACGAAGTGGGTGTACCGGAGCCTCCTTACCATAAAGGCCAATCTTTTTCAGAGCAGGTTCCCCACTTCACCGAACTGGACAGGGCACCAGCTCCCTTTTGGATCAGCAGTCGCAGGGAGGGTTCACCCCCTGTGTGTCCCTTCCTGCCCCTCCCCTTCTTTTTAAGTCTTGACGGGCATTGTCCCTGAGATAGTCATTGTGCTTTGGCCCTGCTGCCTGGCCCTTGTAGATGACATTCCACTCTCAGACGAGGGCCCCAAGTCTCCATTATCCCAAATATATCTGTGTACTTTATTTTAACGTCCCCTGGTGTTATTATTTTTCTCAGAGCTGATTTTGGGATTAAATAGACCCACAAATCTTTATCCTAAATTCAAAAGAAACTAAAAGCTCTGAAAATTAAGTTTGGTTCAAAGTCATTTAAGTTGACAAAATTGGGTCAGAATTGTTTGAGGTTATTTAGAATATTTATCTACTTGGTATGACTATATATATATGTGTTTCTCTGCAGAAAACCAACGTATTTAATTTAGGGGGGGCTGCCTCAAGGCTTGCTGGGGCTGTTTTATAACACTGTGTGCATTTAAAACCTTTCTGACATCTGAGAAATCCTAAATTCATATCTGGTCCAAAGATTTCAGATGCCGGATCGGGGACCTGTGCTAGATTCTGTTTCCTCCTCAGCTGCCGTGTTATTAATAATCCTTGAGGTTAGCATGGTGGTTTCTAGGTTACTGCGTCATCAGAAATGAACATTGGCGTCCACATAGGCTAACATAGCTTCTTTCTCCCCATTGATAAAAAGTATTAGTGAAATGGGGAAAAAGAAGAGGCAAAGAGGTCTCGGCTCCATGATAGGCCCACGAGGCGACCCAGCAGCTCATCTGTAAAAGTAGGTGCAGGAGAGCCGAGCAGAGGCTGGACAGTGATGCTCACCATTAGGATTTGAAGTTCCAGCTTTGAGGTTAAGTGCTTTTGTTTTGGGACAAGAGGATCTAAGTGGCCATTATGATTATATTCATAGCTCCAGCATCTCCTTAGAATACTCCTAATACTGAAAATGAGATAAAAGAAGATGGTGCCCAGGTCTCACCTTCACCTCTGCTCTTCATGGTAACTAGCGGTGTTGCAACTCCTTTAATTTACCATTGAGGGACACTGAACACTCACTCTTCCTAAGGCTGTGAAAGTGACGTTCTTGAACTTCTTAAAGTGTGACGGCCACTGTCCTGTTTTAGAGTAGGAAAAAAAGAGGATGAAATTCCTGGAGAAAAAATAGCTGTTCTGCTTTGGAAAATTTATTGAATAGGTTTAAAATCCGAGAGAAGAACTTTAAGTGGTTCTGTCTTGAGCATTTTACTCTAAAGAAAAACACTTAATCATGACCTGATTTACACTTGTACTCACCAGAGAAAACTATTAGCGACTGTGGATGATAAATTCGAATATGTGTTCAGAACATCTGTGGTGTTTTTTTAGATTATACTTATTTTATACAATTTAAGTTCTGATCAGTTGTGTGAATGTAATATGTGTTTTACCTACGTGTGCTTAGGTAATACTGAGGTTTATAGATTATTTGCAAAAACTGCAGACTACTTTGTTGAGCTGCTGCGGTTTGTTTCTTAGGCCCTAGTAAACAAATTTTTTAAAGACGTCTCCTGTGCCCCCCGCACCGCCAGGCGGTCCGTGCTGCTCGCGCCGCCCCCCCCCCCGCCCCGGGCGCCCTTCCCGTGTCTGGTTTGTTGCCTCCGATCTGCTGACCTTAGAATCCAGTCGGCGTGACTCAGGCCCACAGACACTTACTCACCTCGCCACCTTTGGGATATTGATTAATGTTATTAATCTGTGCTACGCTCTGAGTAGACATTGGTGAACAAGACTCTTATGTATCGTCCCTCCATTCGTGAACCTTAGAGGCTAGTAGATTTTAATTTAAAGAGGAAAGTATATAATATATACTCCATTGAAAACCCTAAGGTAACCTGAAACTTTTCCATCAGTAATATGAATTCACTTTAAATAAGATTTTCTATCTGAATAATTTTCATGAGACTTTTCTAAAATGTCTTATTTCTTCAAACATTCAATCACACACTGGATCCGTACGAGATTGGATTTGAACTTGTGTCTGCTGCTGCCCAGACCAGCATTTTTTGCATTACAGTATGTGACATTCTAGGACAGTGTTATTATGTGAAACTGAAATAGGGCTCTGAGGTCAAGCATTGTAGCTGCAAAGGGGAACGTTGCCGTGCGCTGGGAGTGTCTCCCTGTTCAGGACGGTTCTGTTCTTTATCCTGGTTTTCTCCTTTAAGAGCAGCAGTCTCAGCTGGGTACGGCTGGGAGGTCTCAATCTTTCGCATATTTGTGTCTTCTAGTTTGTACCTGTTCAAACTGGGCCTGGCTCCTCAGATTCAAGACCTGTATGGAAAGGTTGACTTCACTGGTAAGGACTTACAAGCCCGGCAGGAAGTACTCAATTTATGTGGAAATCGCCTGGAGAGTCAACAAAATCAATCTTAGTGATGTAGGGCTTGAAAAATACTGTGGCCACAGAAATGAACGGAGGATAAATAACTTGCTTCTCTGGTCTGGGGGAAAGAACACTAAGCTTGGAATTTCGGGCTCTATTCTGTCAGCTACGGCAATGGGTGTGGTTAGTGAGTCTCAGTTTTCTTATATCTAAATTGGGGATCATGTTAACATATAACATATTAAAAAATCTGTAACATTAACCTATAACATTAAATGTTCATGTACTGTGGGAAAAAACCCCCACTATGACAGTCTTTCCCCTTCCCTTCCAGAAAGTACCTATTGTGGGCAAAGCAAGGGTAGGGGGAGTGAGATGAGGCAAAGATGATAATTTTGTGATTTTTAAATTAAAAAAAAATTTACATTCACTTAAAAAGTTAGCTTATTTTTAAAACTGATTTTTGAGAGAGAGAGAGAGAGAGGAAGGAAAAGAAGGAGAAATAGACAGACAGACAGACAGAAATAGCAGTCATTGCCAGCAAATACTCAGAAGAGATGGGGACTTGGCGGGGGGAGGACAGCGGTGATACTGGTTAGGGGTAAGATAGAACCAACTGTTTCACGGTGGTGATTACCTTATAGGCCTGGGAACTGTGAAAATGGCAATGAAACCTTTATCTGTGGTAGTTTTCCTTCCAGGGAAGTTGTTCGGCAGACCTAGGGGGAGGGCCTGACCTTACATGTTGTTTTCTTTATCATTTAGTTTCCTGCCTTAGAAACGAAATAGTAGCTAGTGATTTGGATTCTAAAGACTGAGAGAACCAACTGCCTTGTAATTTACTTCTTGTTGAGCTTCCTTTTATGCAGCTTCATTCAGAGCTTAATGTGGGAAATGCCATAGGTAGCAGTTTTGAAAGACTAGTTTCTGTGGGGCCTTCTCATGCTATAGTTATTTTCGAGGCTCTTGAAAATAGTAATAATAGTTATATCTACTGAGCGTGCGTTATGTACCAGGTACTATGTTAAGTGCCTTGTATATACTATCTCATTAAATCCTTTTAACAACCCTTAGGGGTAGATGCCATTTTATCCCGTTTTTCATAGTTGAGGAATCCCCTTCCTTCTTTGAGTTACAGAAAGGTGCTTAACTTGGTCTTACTTCTTCCTGTAGAGGAAGAAATCAACAACATGAAGATTGAGCTGGAGAAGTACGGGATCCAGATGCCTGCCTTCAGCAAGATCGGGGGCATCCTGGCTAACGAGCTCTCAGTGGATGAAGCCGCATGTAAGAGAGGAATATTGTGGGTTCAAGTGGGGTCATTGCTACCACTTCCAGGAATTAATACTCTAATGATGATCTTGGACATTAGAAATTTTGCTAGCAAGTTTAGGTCAGTAGATCTAGTTATAAACACTTCTATAATCTTTTATGCCATAATTATTTGAAAATAAATGATTGATTTTGATTATCATACAAACACTTAGAAAGTGAGTTCTGCATTTTGGTGTCTCTTTGAGATGATTGTTCAAATGCCCTTTGCAGGGCTCTCTTGTGAGTATTTCCCTGTGAGTTTCCAAACTTGGCCTCCCAAGTGTGGATCGGCCTCCCAAGTGTGGACCGGAACAGAGCTCCGTGTGTCCTAAGGAGGGGGCGAGGCTTGCAGGCCCCGGCAGCCACCCCTCCCACCCCAGTCCCTACTGCGCTGTTAAAACAAGTCCTTCTCCATAATAATGTGTTGCGGTGTGGTGGTTTTGTATGTGTAACATGTATTCTTTACTCTGTATAACCTCAGCCTCTGTGTTTTGAATTCACTTTTAGTGCATGCTGCCGTAATTGCTATTAACGAAGCTGTGGACCGCAGAATTCCAGCTGACACATTTACAGCTTTGAAAAACCCCAATGCCATGCTTGTAAATCTTGAAGAGTCCTTGGCTTCCACTTACCAGGATGTACTCTATCAGGCCAAACATGACAAGATGACAAACGCTAAAAACAGGGTAAAAATGGAACATCTGTTATTTATTTACATACAGTAAGATTCGCCCATTTCGAGTGTACGGTCTGATGAGTTTTGACAAGTGTATGTTGTTCTGTAACCATCATTCCCAAAGTTCCCAGGCCTCGCTTGGCAATCTGTCCCCCGCTCCTCACCCCTGACCCCAGTGAACTACCTATCTGTTTTTACACTAGGGTTTTCTTTTTTGAGAAATTCATATAAATGAAATGGAATTACACAGGGTGTAGTTAGTCTTTTGGCTTTAGATTCCATGTTGACTTCCACTTTCTCCTTGAATTTTCTGCAGACTGGTGGGAGGCTCTGAGGGCTGGTCCCTGCGTGCCCATCCTGTTCAGTGGGAGGCAGGGCTGCCTGTTCACTGTGAGCAGGGCAGGGTCCGCCGGAGCTTCCTTCTTTGCCTGGCGCTGGGAGAGCCCAGAGCTTGTCCTTCACAAGCAGACCTGCTTTTTATGTCTTCGTTATATTTATAGCTGTGTGGCATTCCACTTGGTTCTTGACTAAGGATTTTAAGCCACACCTTTACTTGCTCTTGGTTCTGTTACGGAGGGGGAGAAGCTCACGTTTATTTCCATAGCCTTCTTAGAGACCTGAGCTAATCTAATTACGCGTTTAATCCACCTGCAGACAGACAACTCTGAGAGAGAGAGAGATGTTTATGAGGAGCTGCTCACTCAAGCTGAAATTCAAGGCAATATAAACAAAGTGAACAGTAAGTATGTCCCTGAGCAGGCTCGCAAGGGGGTACCGCAGAATAACGGGCGTGTGGGTCAGTTTGACCGTTTGGCGCTCCTACACCCTCCGGCGGCGCCTGTTGCCTTCAGGCAGCCCTCACGCCTCCGTCTGCTCTCATTGCTGGTGCTTCTGGACTGATCTTTTTGGCTTGTTTCACTCTTTCATCCTGTGTTACACACTTTAAAAAAAAAAATCTAAACAGGAATTTTATTTTTTCTATTTTAGAGTAATGTAATAGCTTTGTTTTTCTTTTGAAGACTAGTCCAAGCTATCCAGAGGTAAACAGTAAGCAAAGAAATCAGACCCCTATCATCTAGAAATAACCACTACTGATTTTTTTATGCATATCCCTTTCAAAACATTTTAAACACAAATGAAATTGTACTATTCACAGTGATTTTTGTTAATTTCTTGACCGTCATTTTAATTTTGTCACTCTTCTGCTAAAGAGCCTGCCTTGGTTCCTTATGACTTGATGCACTGCATGCAGATCCCTAGTCTGTGGAATTCTTTACGCAGAATTGTTTTTATTTTTACTGTATTTTTTCCTATTACCATTTAGTACTTGGCCACTGGGTCGGTGCCCAGCTGTCTACGCCTGGGAGCCCCTCGGCAGGCCTGGGTGTGGCCCAGGCATCTGTTAAATCTGGTGAAGGGCCTGGCAGGAGCCCCGGGGACGCAATGGCTTGAAGATTCTCGTACAACCCCCACGTTTCCAGCTTCTGTGGCACCGGCAGTAAAGGCTGCGCGAGTTCCGTGTGCCCGCTCTGAGCCTAGGCGGGTTTGGGGGAAGGACAGGCGTCCTAGGTTATACTGTTACCGTCGTGTTTTCTTCAGTGCACGCCCTTTTCCTCCTTAGCGTTTTCTGCGTTAGCAAACGTGAACCTGGCCTTGGACAAGGGGTCCCCCCTGGCCTTGTTCAGAGTCCTGCAGTCACCCGCGCTGGGCCTTCGAGGGCTGCAGGAGCAGAATAGCGACTGGTACCTCAAGCAGCTCCTGAGTGACCGACAGCAGAAGCGGCAGGTGAGGAGAGCCCGGGCCCGCCTGCGAGGGCTCACACGCGCCCGCTGGAGTCCCGTGCTGTCTCCTTAGAGATACTTACAGAGCTTGTTTTTCCTAGTGTACCTTTACCTCCTACATATAAATTATTAGGTTTTTAAAATATCCTCCGGGAAAGCACACATTGCCTTCAGCTCTCTTTGGTTTTAGAGCTGTACATCCTCTTTTAACAGAAATAACAGCCACGCTCCCAACCTAACCACCCCTCATCTGAAGCATTCCCTTTAATCCCCCAACTAACAGCCTTTGGAGGAGACCTGAGTTTTTCATTCTCACTTCAGGAATTGCCCCTATAAAAGCGTGTCCCCGCTAGCGCCCTCTGGCCAGCACCGCTAGTGCTCCCTGTGCGGGAGCAGGCCGTGGGGGCTTGTGCAGGGGGGTGTTCTCAGAACAAATGCGAGCGGCTTGCTTTCTGTCTAAACACGGGCAAGTATACATCATACTAATTCCCAGCTCATACTGGCCAGAATAAGTAGCATCAGTGTGCCAGTGATTCTGTAAACATTTTATCTCATGGCATTTTGATACTTCTCTCAAAATATTTCTTTAAATGTACTGGTGTCCAGAAGGCCCCTCCACCCCAGACGAGGCCAGGGCTGCCACTCCTGCCCGTGGCTCTCGGTCCCGAGTGGCCGCAGACCTTCAGGCCCTGACGCACACACTCTGCTTCCCTCAGGGTGGTCAGGCCGAGCCCCTGCAGAAGGAGGAGCTCCAGGCCGCCGTGGATGCCGCCAACAGTGCCGCGCAGCAGTATAAGAGAAGTACGGGTCCCCAGCAGCGCGTCCGGGAGTCCTGAGGAGGGGAGGAAAGTGGCTTCATGTCACTGGGGGTCTGAGGTTGGAGCCTGTCACCTATCATGCCTCCCGAGCCTTCTCACCATGGTCCACCAGCAGGCGCCTGTGGCGGTGGGACCCCCTGCCAGTGGCTCCCAGCAGCTAGTAAGCTTCCTGGCTGGTTAGGGAACTATCTGGAGCTGGCGAGATGCCAGGGAGTGATCGGTGAGGTTTGGGTGGTAAAAGAGGAGAGAGGAGGCTGTTCTAAACGTGGGGCAATGGGGAAAGGAGGCGTGAGCTGAGGGACCAAAGGTGCAAGGTGTGTTGAAGGGACAGTGGTTAGAATCAAGTCTCTCTAGATGTTTCACGCTGGGCTGTGTAAGGCAAGGCCTCGAGAAGACTGTGGAAAGCTTTGCACGGCAGCTGAAGAAACCGGTGTCTTCCTTGCTGCCTGCAGGGGAGGGAAGGGGTGTTCAGGCAGAGAGGAGTCTGGCTGCGGCTAATTTGGGGCGGAAAGAGGGTTTGGGAGGGGAGTCGAGGAAGCTCTTCCTCAGCAGCTTCATCGCGCTACAGCCTGCATACCGTGCAGTTTGCCCTCACACAAAGAAGCCTGTTTCCAAAGAGTGGTGTTCCCCTTCAGGCGGCATGGCTCACAGGGTACCCACACAATGTAACTTTGTTCTGGGACAGCTGGTGGCCCCTTCCCCTCGCTGCTCTCTCAGCCAACCGTGCCTGACCCCGTCCCCTACCAGGGCTGGCGGCAGTGGCAGCGATCAACGCTGCCATCCAGAAGGGTGTTGCTGAGAAGACTGTCCTGGAACTAATGAATCCTGAAGCCCAGCTGCCCCAGGTGTACCCCTTCGCTGCTGACCTTTACCAGAAGGAGCTGGCCACCCTGCAGCAGCAGAGCCCTGAGGTGAGCCAACGGGGCCTGTCCGGTCTGTGAGCGCGGCGCGGCGGGAGGGCATTGAACGCCCACTTTGTGGAGTAGTTAGGGACCCCAAGTTTTTTAACCAGAAACAGACTCCTTGTGGGATTCTTAGATGTCTGACCCCTGCAATGTTCGCGAATGTCTCTCCTCACTGTGGTCCCTTCCCTGCATGTCCAGCATAGCCTCACGCACCCCGAGCTCTCCGTCGCGGTGGAGATGTTGTCGTCAGTCGCCCTCATCAACAGGGCGCTGGAGTCGGGGGACATGAACACGGTGTGGAGGCAGCTGAGCAGCTCGGTCACAGGCCTGACCAACATCGAGGAGGAGAACTGTCAGAGGTGCGTGCTCCAAGGGCGCTGAACCCTCCGATGGCTGCCACCGCGTTCGTGTGTCAGCTCTCCTGTTGTCCTCATGGGCACTGAGACTTTCGTGTGACCATCTTTTTCTTCTTTCTATTTCGATTCATTTTATAACGTTTTTATTATGAAGGATTTATAGTAAATTAACAGATACCATGTCATTCCTCTCCTAGACATATAAGTATGTTTATCTAAAACACTGAGGATTTGTTATAGAGTCAACGCAATACTATGTTATGCCCTGGTAAAAACAGTAATACTTCTTTAATATTCTCTAAATATAGTCCATCTTCATACCTCCTCACTTGTTCCAAGACTTTTCAGCTGGTTTGTTCAAACCAGGAACAGGTCCAGGACCATGTGTTACATCTGTCTGTTGTGTCCTTGGATACCTTTTAATCCAGAACTGTCTGTTTCTTCATGACACTGATTTGATAAAGAGGTGGGGTCACTAGTCCCATAAAATGCCCCGTCTCCTGCTTCTGGTTGTTTCCTAAAACTTGTCTTATTCCTATAAGTTGGAAATTAGGTCTGAAGACTTTTAAAGATTCATTTGAACATTTTTGTTGAGGTGTAGTTCGTGTTTTCTCATATCAAGAGTCATAGGAAATCTGTCCTGCCATTAACAGTAGTAAGATTGATCCTTGGATTAGGGAGACTGCTCATCCCTCCAACAGATATCTGTGTGTCTCTCCCAGACCATAATCTCTTTTTGCACCTTTTGCCCCATCAAAATGTCCACTTCCCCATTAACTATTCCCTTAATATGTTTAAGCCCAATTGGTAATTCTTGCCTAAATCAGTACTTTCTGTAAGACTGAACAATGACTTGTTGATCTGTCATTCCTTCCACGTTTCCTAGCTGATGTATGGCCTTGTTTCCTTGTCGTTAGAGGAACTACTTGAGCTGCTGCCTCTGTCTGATTCTAGAATTGGTCTTACCTAGAGTTTGGAGGCTGTTAAGAATAGGTGATAGCCTTACATTTTTCACATTTTGTTTGAGGCAACTCCTCAGTCCCAGTGCTGGCCTCAGAATATATCAGACTAGGGAGTAAATACCTTGACTGTCTGGGTTCTTGGGTACTTTGTCCCCAGTCTTCTGGTTCCTGTCACCGCAATAACCCGAAAGGTCCCTGTTCTCATGTTGCACTTCACTGTCTTTTTTGGGGGGCTGGGACAGGTACCTCGATGAGCTGATGAAGCTGAAAGCCCAGGCACATGCAGAGAATAATGAATTCATCACGTGGAATGACATCCAGGCGTGCGTGGACCGCGTGAACTTGGTGGTGCAGGAGGAGCACGAGAGTGAGTGATCCACGCCCGCCCCCCAGACATCTCGGCGGAAGATGGTGGGGTTCCAGGAGCTGGTTCTAGACACTACTCCTGGGGGGGTTTGAAAAAATATATATATGTATGTATGTATAACTCAAGGAGCTACGGTTGGCTATTATTTTCAAAACATTAGGCAACTGTTATAATTCGGTAGGTAGGAGATGGATTTTCAGGGGATGGATTGAACACAATCTGTTATTTTTAAGTGCTGTTATAACGAGTCTCTGAGAGTAGGCACCTGGAGTCAGGCCCCGGGGCTCTCGGGCCGCCACACTTCTGAACAACCTGCTATAAATTCTGGTGTTTCCTCTACCCACTCAGGTTCAATAATTTTCTAGGTTGACTCACAGAACTCAGAGAAGTGCTGTGCTTATGATTATAGTTTTATTATAAAGGCTATGAATTGGGACGAGCCAAAGGAAGAGACCCACATGGTGTCCTTACTCTGTGCCACCCTCCCGCACATCCACGTGTGTCACAACCAGGGAAGCTCACCTGCCCTGGGGTGTCCAGAGTTTTTATTGGGGCGTCATTATGCAAATGATTGATTGTGTCACTGGCCATGCAGTTGAACTTATTTGCAGGCCATCTCCCTCCCTGGAGAGAGGGAGGCCGGGCTAACAGAGCGCATGACGCACAGCCCCGGTCTTCCAGTCGCACGGCTGGTCTCTGCAGCATGGCCAGCCCTGGCCTGAAACTACAAGGGGCCTGCCACGTGCAATGACGTTATTCCCATCCCTGGGAAATTCTAGGGGTTTAGAGGCTCTTTCTCAGGAATTAGGGACAAAAACCAGCCAAAGTTTTTATTATACAGTAGAGTCCTTAAAAAAGTAGCACAACTGCCTAAGATTCCATGGGACCTAACATTTCTAGTTTATCTTGTATTTCCTGTGAGAAATATTCAGCTGATTTAGTGGAGAAGGTCCTGCCTTGGAGCAGGGAGCCCTGGGCTCAGGCCCTCCGCCTGCCTCTTGTCTGCTGTGTGATCTTGGAAGAGATACCCCTCAGCCTCATCTTTTTTCCTATGATAATATTGGATTAGGTGACTTTTTAAGATCCCTTGAATTCTGATTTTTTGTAAATCAATAATGGTTTGGTTACACATTGAAGTGTACCTGAAAAGTATACCAGAAAGCCAGTTTCATCAAAATCTTCACACGTTTAAGTTAGAGCAATCGCAAATAAAACAAGAGGACTTGAGCTTTCCATAGGAATATGGGTATAAGGGCGTTTACTTTGAATGAAACAAACACTAAATTTTAAAAAGTCAATGCTGCTCAATATTGTGGATGACAAATTATAGTTTGCATCATGGCAATGCTTGTGGGTGGATTTATGCTTACTTTGCATGTTTAAAGATCGATTTGTTTATAGAATTTCTCAATTAAACCAGTGACCCTTGTTTCTCCACTGTTAGGGATTTTAGCCATTGGGTTAATTAACGAAGCCCTGGATGAAGGTGACGCCCAGAAGACCCTGCAGGCCCTGCAGATTCCTGCCGCCAAGCTGGAGGGTGTCCTGGCGGAAGTGGCCCAGCACTACCAAGACACGCTGATCCGAGCAAAGAGGGAGAAGGCCCAGGTGAGCGGCGTGACAGTGATGCGTTTCCGTTCAGAGAACCTCATTCCTCCCAGCATCTGGGCGCGGGGGGGCTTCCCCCGCCCCCCCGCCCCAGTGGTTCTTCCAGGACGCCCTGGAGTTCCTGCTCTGGAGTGACACACGCTGGGAGGAACATAGACTCTGCCTTCTGGAAGCTTTGCTCTTCTTCACATTTTGTTTTTTGTTGTTACTGTTGTCAACACATCTCTCTAAGTAAATTCTGTCTTGAAATATTAGATTCAAAAAATGCATAAGACATACAAGAATATGGTTGTATAAATTTTCAGAAGTGAGCATACCTGTGTGATTGGTACGCAGATTATAAAAAGCATTAACAGTTGCCGGGACCAGGTAGCTCAGTTGGTTGGAGCATCGTCCTGATACGCAACAAGGTTGCAGGTTCCATCCCCGGTGAGGACACATATAGGAAGCAATCAGTGTATGCGTAAATAAGTGAAACAACAAAGTAATGTTTCTCTCTCTCTTCCTCTCAAGTTGATAAATTTTTTAAAAAGTAAAAAAAAAAAAAAAAAAAAAAAGCATTAACAGAACCCTCTTCATACACCCTGCCATCCTTAGAAACCCCTCCGCCGTCTGCCAGCAGTAACCCACATCCTGATTCTGAGCCCACAGTTGATTTCTGCCTCTTCCTGACGTGCTTTTAAGTGAGATCATACATCATGTCCTCTTCTGTGTCTGGCTTCTTCAGCCCAACATTAATGTTGATGACATTTCCCCGTGTGGTTGCGTGCAGTGGTAGTTTCTTTATCATCCTTGTGTACTGTTCCATTGTGCAATTTTATATTCTAGTATTGGTGAAATATTGGTTGTTTCCCACTTTCTGGCTATTGCAAATAATGCTTCTGTGAATATCTAGTACATGTCTTTGGGTAAATATCTATTTGTGGGTACATACTAATATGTATTTCTAGTAGATATCCATGTAGAAGGGGAATGTGTGAGTCACAGGGACTACATGTCTGGGATATAACGTAATAGAGATAAGCTTTAGTAGGTAGTGTCACAAAAATTCTTTTATAACAGGCTTACTGAGATATAATTCACATAGAATACAAGGGACCATTTCAAAGTATACAATTCCATGATTTTCAGTCTACTTACAGAATTGTGCCACCAACAGTCTCTAAATATCTGAATATCTAAGAATAACCAGCAGTTTTCTTTGGAACATTTCCATCACCCCCCAGGGAAACCTGGTGCCCGTGGCCGTCCCTCCGCGGGGCCCCTCGATCTCTGCGGCCCCGGCAGCCTCAGCTGCTGTTGCCTGTTCCGGACGTTCCCTGTACGGGGGTTCGCACGGGAGGTGGCCCTGTGACTGGCTGCTGTCACTGAGCTTGGTTTCTCCAAGTTGTAGCATATGTTTGGACTTCATTTCTTTTTTTATTGTTGAAGAATATTCCATTGTGTGGAATATTATTCCATTTATGAGTTAGTTGATGGCCATATGAATTGTTTCCACTCTGTGGCTATTGGGGAAAATGCTGCTATGATCATGTATTTGTAGCAGAAACCCATCTTTTAGCAAGTTCATCTTGCCTCTCAGCTAGTTCGTTGAGACAAGATTTATAAATGGTATAAATGGACAAGATTTATACCTTTTTTTTATGCCGTTGCTGAGCCGGAAGTTAGTTTGTATATAGTAGGCCCTCAGATATTAGTTGTGTGATAGAAGGATAAATGCCCCTGTTTTTCTAATTGTGATTAATCACCTTTTAAGTTCTTCCTAACTTACAGTAAGTAGTTGCAGAGTAATGCAGGTTTTGTTTTCTTTTTTAACTTAGAAGATCCTGCCAGTGAGGTTCTTGTAACAAGCAGAGGAGCTGAAAGAAATTCTTAATTCAAGGGGTCAGATTCTCTCTGGGAGTCCAAAGGTAGAAACAGAGACCGGGGCTTCTGTGTTACAAATCACCGACACCCATGGGTGAGGGTGGAGGAGTCATGGGTAAAACCTTTGGTTCCATTGTTGTCGGAGCCGTTGCTGTTACCATGTCCTGATCATGTAAATGTAGCGAGTACCAGGTTTCACAGAAGAAGCACATGAGTGTGATCCTGTGGGGAGGCTGGAATCACAACTTTTATTTTGTAGCCAGGAGCTTGAGACACAGGGATCAGCTGATTTACTCACGCTGGTGAGAGGCAATTGGCTGTGGGGAAGCTGTCAGCGGATGTCTCCGTCTCTGGTAATCAGTTTTGGATCAGTTGGCTCGGTGCTTCCCAAACATGGCTGATCATTAGAACACTTGAAAAAGTCACTTTAAAGATACAGATTCCTAAGAGTAACGCTCTATGTGCTGACTCAGAACCTCAGACCGGGGCCTGGCGGCAGTGATCCTGCGTGGGCCCGCGGCGGCAGTGTGTGCTGTTGCTGCCGTGTAAGTCCGGAAGGAGTCTCAGGTCTGACGGATGGAGCAGTGGGCTCTGGGAGAATGAACGAGGCCGGGTTCCATGTCTAAAAAAGGAAAGTGGAGGGAGAACGTAACTTGTACCTGCCCTCACTCCTGCTCCGAGCCCGACTGCCCCTTTGGGTTGGATCATGGGAGTTAACCTGTTAGAGGATGTGACTAGAGTTTGAAGCATTTCCTTTTGCTGTGGAATAGCTTTCAGAGTTCATCAGAGGCCAACGAAGGGGGGCAGTTAGAGTGCAGTCAACACTGCCAGGCCAGCAGGGCGGACTGCACCCGATGATGGAGTTGCCTTTTTTAAGGCCTCGGCTTGGCCTCTGTGTTTCTCTGAGCCATCTTGGAAGTGGTTTTAAAAATAATCATCTGAGATCCAAATTTAGCAAGCAAAAGATCTTAAGTTTGGTCTGTACTTCTCTCGTGTTTTTGTGTGTGTGTGTGTGTGTGTGTGTGTCTGGTTTTGGTATCAGGGTACAACTGGCCTCAGAGAATGAATTGGGAAGTTTTCCTTTTTCTGTGTTTGAGAAGAGTTTGTAAAGGACTGGTCTTAATTCTTCTTTAAACATTTGGTAGAATTCACCAGTGACCATGTGGTCCTGTGGTTTTGGTTTTATTTTTTTCTAGGATATGTTTTGATTATTATTCCATTTCTCTATTAGTTATTAGGTCTACTCAGATTTCCTTCAAATTGTCTTTCCACCTCTTTCTCTTCCTTCTGAGCATATGCATATATGCTCCCTTATGCATATATTGATATTATTGACAGTGTCCTCGGGTCTCTGGGGCTTTGTTCATTTTTCTCCTTTCTTTTTTCTGACTGTTCCTCAGGCTGGATAATTTCAGTTTCCTCAAATCTGCTGTGTTCCTCTCGGAACTTTTTCGTTTCAGTTACTGTACTTTACAACCGCCAAATTTCAGTTTCAAAAAACGTTTCTATCTCTTTGCTGATAATTCTGTTTGTTGAGACCTTGCTCTTATACCCTTTAGTTCTTTGAACATATTTTAAATAGCCGATATAATTCTCTATCTACCATGTTCAGTTTGGAAAATTAATTTCTTGACCCCCTGAACCACTTGACTTCATCTTCATGTAGTTCTCACTTTATCTGAGGTGTTTCTCATAACCTTTCACCGATTTTTTGATGCCCAGCTTCTTCCAGTTGACTGTTCCACATGTGTCACGTGTCTGAAACTCCCTCCATGTCTGATTGAGTCTCAGAAGCCCCGTTATCACACGCGCCCTGATTTCATGGCTTTTGTATTATTTTCGCTGTCCATGGTGTGCAGGAGACCCAGGACGAGTCGGCTGTGTTATGGTTGGATGAAATTCAGGGCGGAATCTGGCAGTCCAACAAAGACACCCAAGAAGCGCAGAGGTGTACGTACCAGCTGCTTTATTTCTGTTCTGGTGGAGGGCGGAGGGTGGACGGCGGAGGGTGGTGAGCTGCTCCGATCGCAGCCTTTGTCCCTCAACCTGACCAAGACGGAGATGTGCCAGGGAAGGGTTGGCCCGCAGAGGTAGTTGGGTGAACGAGTGTGTGAGTTTAGGCTCTTTCTAAACTATTCTGGTAACAATTGTCTTCCATGATAGTTGCCTTAGGAATCTTTGCCATCAATGAGGCCGTGGAGAAAGGTGATGTTGGCAAAACCCTGGGTGCCCTTCGTTCCCCTGACGTGGGCCTGTACGGAGTCATCCCTGAGTGCGGTGAGACGTACCAGAGCGACCTGGCCGAAGCCAAGAAGAGAAAGCTGGGGGCGGGTGAGTCATGGGGACACAGATGTGTGCCCTGAAGCTGCCAACCTGAGTGTATGAGGGGACGGACGTAGATGAAGGGACAAGCTGTAGGGGAAGATGCTTTGGTATGGAAATAGCGTTTAGGCTTATTTTATACCCTAGAGAGAGACAATAATATCTCTGTTTTTAAAAATACAGTTTTCCCCTTGTGGGCAACCATGTTTAAAAAGTCAATTTTATGAAAATGCAGGGAGGATCAAATTATTTGACTGTTTATCTTTCATAGGGTATCAGTAGCTCCTGTGGTATCTGAGCCTCTAGGGAGATAAAAGTAGTTTGTCTGCAAAAGGAGGGGAATAAAAGATTTCCCTGCCTTTTTATGACCTTTTTTTTTTAAATAACGAGAGAGGCTGAATGGTTGCAGATTTTTTATCAGAAAGTAGAGTTCTTTTACACAAGTAGTAGATGTTGGTTTTGGAAGGAACAAAGCTAATCAAAGTTTATTCCACAATTGGACTTTGTAGGAATTTTCCTTTTATAATTGCAGATGGGAGTAAGCTAAATGCGACATCGCAGAGCCATAACTTATGAGGGAGTCAGGGTGCCCCTTATTCTCATCGATCCAAGGGACAGGGGAGGGGGTGGTCTCCATTTAGACTGCAAACCTCATCAGAATCTCTCCATCGTATCGGACGTATGAGCGTGGGGAACGTGGCTCTGGGTCTCATGAACCTTCCCTTTCGTGTCTGCCAGGCGACAACAGCAGCAAGTGGGTGAAGCACTGGGTCAAAGGTGGATATTATTATTACCACAATCTGGAGACTCAGGAAGGAGGATGGGACGAACCCCGGGGCTTTGTGCAAAATTCTCTGCAGCTTTCGCGGGAGGAGATCCAGGTAGGTCACATTTCTTCATATAAGAGGAAGCTGAGAGAAAGTGTGTTAGAGCGAATATTGGTTGGGAGGAACAGGGCCTGTGGTCAGAAGCCCTAGATTGAAATTAAGGCTGTATAATCAACTGTTTTAGAGTAATTATTTTTCTAGTGGTTGGAGGAGGGACTAAGGCCTAAATTAGGAAAACGTCAGGATTGTAAGATTAAGTCAGATAAATTGTGTGCCTATTAAAACTTGGATGACCCAGAAAACAAAATGAAAAGTTGCTCTAACTCCCCATTAAATGCAACTGCTGTTAATCTCTCCCAATTTTTAAATTTTCAACCTCTCTTTTGACTGTCCCACAAACTGCAGGCCGCATGCAATGGGCTGTAGCCTGTGTGTTCAGATGCGGCCCGGCCATTTCCCTGCGGCGCCCTCCGTGGCGGCCTGCCCGGGGCCTCTGGGACTGGGTGCGCGGCCCTTTGTTGGCCCCTGTTACTCGGCCTTCTTGTCAGCAATGACCCAAGCACGGTCCCTGGCACCGTCAGGGTTGGGCAGATGAGTGCGTACATGAGAGGTAAAAGACCAAGTTTCTGGCTGCGGCTTTTTGGCCTGTGAGACCGACCTGGCCCTGAAAAACGGACCTGAAGTCGTTCCCGTTGCTCAAAGATTGAGTACAGACTGAGGGAGCAGTGAGGGTTAGTTTGTGCGCTGTGGACGATACTGTGTTACAACCTGCGTCCCTCCTCACCTGTGCGTGTCTTCCCATGTGACTGTGTGCTCTTTCAGAGTTCCATCTCCGGGGTGACAGCTGCCTATAACCGAGAGCAGCTTTGGCTGGCCAACGAAGGCTTGATCACCAGGCTGCAGGCTCGCTGCCGCGGTTACCTAGTCCGCCAGGAATTCCGGTCCAGGATGAATTTCCTGAAGAAGCAAATCCCCGCCATCACCTGCATTCAGGTATTTCAGAGCCCTGTGCCCAGACAGCGGGTGGGCGCCTGGAGCAGGGCTGATAAGCAGGCAGCTCTTAGGACTGGGTGTCTGAGTGTGTTTTTTCCTTGTGACTTCTTAGTTTCATCCTTCTTCTGACAAGTGTGTGCTCTTTCCTACCCCTGCAACAATCAGAGTGTGCTCAACCTGGCCCTTAGCGGCGAGTTGTCAGTCCAGTGGCAGCTTTTCTGACAGGGTAGCACAATGTCACAGAAAGACTTCTGATCTGGGAAGCGCACCCCAGCTCTCTCTCCGTCTCTTTCCTTGTCTGTAAGTGGGGATGCCAGCGCTTCTGTCCCCTAGCTGATCTACTGTAAGGAGCCAGTAAAAAGCTGGGTGAGGCATCTCTAAAAGGTGTGAGGTGCTGTGCAAATGCCAGGGACGGGAAGTTAGCCAGTGGCTCTGCTGGTGGCGGCGCAGCCTCTGCCCACATACCCCTGTCACTGGGGGACGAGGCCCTCTTTCCAGCTCTGTCATGACTTGCACATGAGTTGCACTTGGATAGTACATCATGAGGGGAATTTTCAGCATCCTCTGATCCTGGGAAATAACGGGTCCACTATAATATTTGATGGTTTCAGTCGCAGTGGAGAGGATACAAGCAGAAGAAGGCCTACCAAGATCGCTTAGCGTACCTGCACGCCCATAAAGATGAAGTAGTAAAGGTATGGTAGCCCGGGCAGGGCCTCTCAGCGTGGGGCGCAAGCGTGACCTGGGTTGAGATGAAGGGCTTTTATAATTTCCCGGGTCCTTTTCCCACAGATTCAGTCCCTGGCGAGGATGTATCAAGCTAGAAAGCGCTATAGAGATCGCCTGCAGTATTTCCGAGACCACGTGAGTACTTTTTGGTAATAAGGGCCAGTGGAATCAGTTTTGCTGTATTTTGGGTGGACAAATGACCAAAGGAATTTCTTCTTCTTTGTTCCTTAGATAAATGACATTATCAAAATCCAGGCTTTTATTCGGGCAAACAAAGCTCGTGATGACTACAAGACTCTCAGTGAGTAACTGGCTCAGCGGAGAAGGAGTTGAGGCCATCGGGTTCTGGGTATTCTCCGCGGATCTCTTTTCTTTCCTGCAGGCAAGGCTTGGGGGTTGGGTGCTGCTTGAGATTTAACTCCCTTTGCTAACCTGTGGCTACGTGTCCTTTTCCTCGTGTGTCAGCCTTTGTCACAACATAGCAATAGCATGCCCGAGAAGACTGCACCTGGTGGTTGTCTTTGCACATCTCAAAAATGAATGTCTGTGAAGAGAGCTGTTTCTTTAAGACAGTTTCTTGACCTAGAACTTTCCCCGGGAACTTCATTCTTTGTCTGACTCGTGCTTCCTTTCTGTCAGTTAATGCTGAGGATCCTCCCATGATTGTGGTCCGGAAGTTTGTCCACCTGCTCGACCAAAGTGACCAGGATTTTCAGGAGGAGCTGGATCTTATGAAGATGCGGGAAGAAGTCATTACCCTCATTCGTTCCAACCAGCAGCTGGAGAATGACCTCAATCTCATGGATATCAAAATCGGACTGCTAGTTAAAAATAAAATTACATTGCAGGTATGGTCCAGTGCCAGGTGGGAGTGCGGGCCACACCGTCCTGTTTGGGTCCCCTGCTGATTCGTGGGCGGGTGGAGGCTGACTTTCTTCTCAGTGAATGCCATTAGTTTTTCGAAAGTTATATAAGAAATGAAATAGTGTAAATAGCAAAATTTTAAATAGAGAAAAGATAAAAACCGTCCCATAATTCACAACACTGCAATCATTTTGTATATTACATTTTAACTTAATATCAAAGGATAAAAATGTTTTCTGTATGATAGTTATAAGTATTATGTTTAATTGCAGCATTATAATTCATTAGAAGATACCCTATAATTTACCTCTTTTTTCCCCCCAACTATTTGGCAAGTTTTTAATACAAGTAACATTGCAGTTAATGTCTCAGTGTACATGTAGCTTTTATTGTATTTAAGGCTTTGCTTTTCAGATAGATTTCTAGGTGCTGGTTTCCTGATTCAAGGGACATTTTTATGGATCATGTTCTTTATAGGAAGGTGGAAGTAGGACTCTATTTGATCTGTGTGCTAAGAGTGGGACCGTGTAGTGAGCCCATTGCATTTGATAGGCTCTGCAGTGCAGTGTAAGGCCTCTCCGCAGTGCCCGGAGACTTGTCTCTGAAAGCGTTTTGATTTACGTGTTGATTTTTCTTTACAGGATGTGGTTTCTCACAGTAAAAAACTTACCAAAAAAAATAAAGAACAGTTGTCTGATATGATGATGCTAAATAAACAGAAGGGAGGTCTCAAGGCCTTGAGCAAGGAGAAGAGAGAGAAATTGGAAGCTTATCAGCACCTGTTTTATTTATTGCAGGCAAGTGGCTCCTGGAAGTGGGATTGAAACATTTAGCTAGTTTACTTTTCATAAGAAAACCTTCCTTGCAAATCTCTGTGGAACTATTTCTGATTTCCACTGAGGAGTAAGCAAAGAGATGTGTTTATTTTTCTTTATATTTTCTTTATTTCCTTACTTATATGCATTCTAATCCTTCAAGTTAAAACAAACAAAAAAAAATGAATGTATTTTCCAGCTTTTACATCATCTAGAAATGACTTATCTCTTGGTTTTATTTCAGACCAACCCCACCTATCTGGCCAAGTTGATTTTCCAGATGCCCCAAAACAAGTCCACCAAGTTCATGGACTCTGTGATCTTCACCCTCTACAACTACGCATCCAACCAGCGAGAGGAGTACCTGCTGCTGCGGCTCTTTAAGACAGCGCTGCAGGAGGAAATCAAGTAGGGAGGGGCCCAGGCTGCCCGTATCTTTTAGTCATCTTGCTTAATACTAGGATTTGTGTGGAATACTCGAAAGAAGCATCTACTTGTTAAATTGCTCATATAGTGTTGCTGCTTCTGAGGAGGTGATAAAAATAATACATGTGCTAAATTAATTTTAGGAACATTTCTATATTAAAATACAGTTTTTAAGAAGCTGATCTAAACACCATAATTCCACACTTTTATCTAATAATGAACCTGCTCACGCTCCCATGGTTGAGTTTACAGCAGCAGAAAGATGTCCTGGGTTCAGACGAGGGTTGGCAAGTTTTCCAGAGAAAGAATAAGTACCTTCTTCCCTCCCACTATTTCTGTGTCCAGGAGATGGGGATGGTTAAGTAGGAAGGATCTCTAAGCTCATATATTCTGTGATTAGTTTATACTGAGTTTGTTTCTGATGTTTTATAGGTCAAAAGTAGACCAGATTCAAGAGATTGTGACAGGAAATCCTACAGTCATTAAGATGGTTGTAAGTTTCAACCGTGGCGCTCGGGGTCAGAATGCCCTGAGACAGATCTTGGCCCCAGTCGTGAAGGAGATTATGGACGACAAATCTCTCAACATCAAAACTGACCCTGTGGATATTTACAAATCGTGGGTTAATCAGATGGAGTCTCAGACGGGAGAGGCAAGGTAGGTAACCATAACATCCTTTTCTGTCATGTTTTGTTACTCTTTTTTCTTTTTTTCTAAAGCAGTTGACCTTTGATTTACAGACTAATAATTGTTCAAATAGATTTTCCTTAATAAACCTTTTTTAAATTGTTGACCTGGTAATATTCACTTATGTAGCAAGTATTCACTGAGTTCTTACTAATACAATAATGAATGAAACAACTCTCAGCCTCCTTGGTACACAGACACAAAGTCTCAGGAAGTGATCATGTCTCTTACCTTTTATCCCAAGTGCCCATCAGAGTGCCTGGCACCCAGTTCACAGCTGAAAACCTGAGTTCAAATGCTGCCCCACCATTTGCCAGCTCAGTGAACTTGAGCAAGTTGCCTAATCTCTCTGGGTCTTTTTGTTGATGAAAGACAGGGTCCTGCCTCAGGCAGCCCCTGGCTTTTAGCCTGACATTATTGAGGGTCATTTCTGCTTTCCCAGCAAACTCCCCTACGATGTGACTCCTGAGCAGGCTCTGGCCCATGAAGAGGTCAAGACACGGCTAGACAACTCCATCAGGAACATGCGGGCTGTGACCGACAAGTTCCTCTCGGCCATCATCAGTTCTGTGGACAAAATCCCGTGAGTGTGCCCGTTGTGAGCCCGCTTAGAGCCCAGTCTCAGTGCCTTTCTGCCCCCCGCCCTTCTCACGGGTTTTGTCCGTCTCACAGCTACGGGATGCGCTTCATCGCCAAAGTGCTGAAGGACTCGCTGCATGAGAAGTTCCCCGACGCTGGTGAGGACGAGCTGCTGAAGGTAAGCCTCCAGAGGCCCGCTCGGTCTTGCCTTCAGTAGAACTTTGAGGAAAAAGTTAGAGACCTAGGCCTGACCATGGACCTTTAGTAGTCCTTAAAGCGAGGATGCTGGCAGTGGCTTGCCATTGGTTGTGAGATTTCAAAGGCAACTGTAAATATTGAATTACACCTCTCTGAGTTTCTATACAGTTTGAATGGCTCACATCCAACTAGTCGAGGTGTGTGTTTCCTGTCTTGAGATAAATTTGAGTCCTATCTTTTCGCTGGACAACTGCTCCCTCTGCTGGTGGCCGGGTGAATGGGAGCAAACCCAATAGTTTCTGCTAAGGCTGTTGCTGGTAACTCTCACTTGGCTACGCTCCTTTCTTTTATTTTTTTTCTTAATCTGAACGCTTTTTTCTTCTCTCTCCTAGTTCTGTGCTTTCCTACAGTGAGGCCTCGATTCTAGACTTTCTGTTCAGGTGAATTAATTTTTTTTTAAATGATACTCTAGGGAAAATGCTGTGACTGTCCTTGAATTCTTCTGTGGAAGAGTCGTGTGTTGATTGGCTTTAATTTCAGACGCATGACCTTGTCTGCCTTGGAAGTGCGCAGCATGAGGATGCGGGGGGTTGGACAGATGCCACTATGCCAGTTGGGCCCTGTTCAAGGGTTTATTTTAACTGTATTTGTTAGCTTCTTAGAATGAAAGCCCGCCCACAGGAAAGTGAACAGTACACGTGGCAACAGTCTTATTTGCTGCCGTGATACATGAACAGAGGATGCCCTCACATGTTCAGTAACAGACTCTAAGTCTTGTTTTTACCTTCTGAGTCTCTGCTTTCACTGTAATGGTTTTTAATTCTGTTCTCATTTTCTTTTTTTCTGCATCAAAAAGGGACCATTTTAGTTTCAGGCTTTGAGAGATTGTGTGTGTGTGTGCATGTTTGCATGTGCGTCTGTATGTGTGGTGTTTATTTTTCTCCTCACAGGACTTCATTTTCTGGTTTTCTTGGCTATAGCAGAGTCATTTGTGGCTTCTTTGGTGGAGTAGCTTTTAACACCCATCTTTCTTTCGCATCTGTTCCCAGATTATTGGTAACCTGCTTTACTATCGCTACATGAATCCAGCCATTGTTGCCCCCGATGCCTTTGACATCATCGACCTGTCGGCAGGAGGCCAGCTCACCACAGACCAGCGCCGAAACCTGGGCTCCATTGCCAAGATGCTCCAGCACGCAGCTTCCAATAAGATGTTTCTGGGAGATAATGCTCACTTAAGCATCATTAACGAGTACCTTTCCCAGTCCTACCAGAAATTCAGGTAAGGGAACAGGGGTCAGGGACTGGAAGGACCCTGCATGTTGTTTCTGTCGCTGAGGGTAAAGACGAGACTGAGAACCACGGCTCACTTTCGCTGGGCTGTAGGGTTGTGGGATACAACACGGCGTTTGCTGTGCTCAGAACCCCAGGAGGTGATCCATAAAAATGTATTCCTGTGGAAGAGATGGTACTTCACATAAACACAGTGGTTCTACATCAGGCACATGTGACTTTGTAACCAGAAAAGAGTTGGAGAGCTCTTTTAATAATCTGTAAACTAAACAGTCAGTTGTGAGTTCATGTTAGCAATAGAGTTGGTTCTCCTTATGTTATGACACAGGGGTTCGGTGGGCAGGTCCCTGTGGGAAGGGCTAACGTGGGGTGGGGCCTGCTGGGGACGGGAGTCCTCCGAGCCGGCGTCCCCAGGCTGTGAAGCACGGCAAACACGCGGCACCTTCTTTGGAATCAACTGCCTGGACTGGCTTCTGCTTGAACACGTCGCTGCAGTGGTTGTGGGATGTCCTCTCGCCAGCTCCTCTCACATGTGTTGTTTGTTGGGCTCCGGCTCTTATGTTTCTCTCCAGGCGCTTTTTCCAAGCTGCTTGCGACGTCCCAGAGCTGCAGGATAAATTTAATGTGGACGAATACTCTGATCTCGTGACCCTCACCAAGCCAGTGATCTACATTTCCATCGGTGAAATCATCAACACCCACACGGTCAGCCTTTTCCTTTAATCACTTAATTCCACGGCTCCGTCCTGAACTGCCTTCTCTGGCTGCTTCTTCCTGCCTCCGGAAGCCAGATTACTCACCTTCCTTTGATCTTACATCACATCACATCTGCCTGCTGCTTATTATTCTTAACAACATCTACCACGTTCTCAAAGTGACCCAGGCCACCTGCAGCAGAGTCTTCTGGGCTGGTTGTTAAAAATGAAGTTGCCGAGTCCCGCACAGGCCTCCTGGACCGGGGTCCCCACGCCGGAGTCCCCACAGCAGAGCCTCCGCGGCGCGCGCTGCCTCGGCCCCCACAGAGCGCCGCGTCGTCTTCCCCTGCTTTCACCCTGGCTTTCCCTCTCTTTACTCTGGGTTATTTTTCCTCACATACATAGAGCATCAGCTTTTGCCTCTGTGTTGCCTTATAGTTCTTTTCCCTTTTTTCCCAAAAGGGCGTTCCCTTTTTCCCCAAATACTTTTTAATTCAGTCCTTTCCCCTTTGAGTGACCTATAGGAAATGAGAAAACATAAAATGTAAATGAAACGTTAGGTTGTCATTTCCGAGGCTGTCCCTTGGGATAGTAGCATCCTAGAGGCTTTGCTCTGAGTGCCTCCCGGACGGTGGGAGCGCCCACAGGCCACGCCGCTCTCTGAGTTGCAGGTGTTGCCGGCCGGGAACAGGGAGGGAAAGCATGGCTGTGAGCTGGTCGTAGGCCGCACTGATGGCTTTGGATGTGGAAGTCCGTGGGCTTCCTTGCTCTTTCTTCCATAGGGTACATTTAAACGCCTTATACCTGTAAGGTTGAGAGACTACCACTGTTTTCTGTCCACTTACCATAAATCATCCAACAGAGACCAAGTGGGATGTGTTCCGTACTGCTGATTTGGGTGGGTTTGCTGAGGATTGGCTTGTCGGTTCTTTGAATGTAGGAGTGTCATTGTCTAACCTCCGTCTGTGCTGTTTGGCAGTGTGGGTGGGGCCTGGGGCTTAATGAGCCGAGCGTGCAAATAGAATTGACCCCTTGGTATTTGATGCAGCTCCTGTTAGATCACCAGGATGCCATTGCCCCGGAGCACAACGACCCAATCCACGAGCTGCTGGATGACCTCGGCGAGGTGCCCACCATTGAGTCCCTGATAGGTACTGTTCTGACCACCTGCCCGGACGGAGGAGGGGGCCTGTGACAGAGGAGGGTCGGAACAGGCACCCCTTAGTGTCTGCACTGTTCAGGGTCTGGATAAGCATCAGGGAGGAACATATATGTGGCCCTGCCTGTGAGCAGCTGATGTCTAGTGCAGGAGATCATTGTTTTTTTTTTTAAAGATTTTCTTTATTTATTTTTAGAGAAGGGGCAGGAGGGGAGAAAAGAGAGGAACATTGATTTGCGAGAGGTATACCTATCGGTTGCCTCTTGCATGACCCTGGCTGGGGACCTGGCCCTCATCTCAGGCATGTGCCCCGACTGGGCATCAAACCACTCACCTTTCGGCTCGCAGGTGGGCACTCAATCCGCTGAGCCACACCAGCCAGGGGAAGGGATCGTTGTAAATGAGTATATACACGTGATCATTTAATTAGATGTTGTAAGTCCTGTAAAGAAAATGAACAGAGAGAGAAGTATAATGCAGTGTTGAAATGATTGTCAAACATTTATAAAATTATTTCATGATGGATCCTTCACCTTTATCGTTTGGCATGTACTCCCCTCTGTTGCTCAGTAAGAGGTATCCTTGCCGCAGCGTACATGTCGGCTCATTCCAGTATCTCCTTAGACTTCCGTTGTCTTTTACTTGTGTCCGTGTCTCTTCTCCCTGTCTCCTGTCTTTATTACACTCATTCTTTCTACCCTCCCAAAACTTTAGGAGAAGGCGCTGGCAATTTAAATGACCCAAATAAGGAGGCGCTGGCTAAGACAGAAGTGTCTCTCACACTGACCAACAAGTTTGATGTGCCTGGGGGTGAGAATGCAGAGATGGATGCTCGGACCATCTTGTTGAAGTGAGTACTGAACGTGGGAAGAATGGAGAAAACGTAAAGCAACAACCCCTTGGCCTTGGTGAACAAGTCTGCCCCTTCCTTCCTGAGACGGTCACCTTGGCCTTGAGAGCCTGTCATAATTGTGGTCGCTCCCTATGTTATATTTGGCATAGGACGTGTGCGCCTTTTTGCCAGTAAGATGCTGGAGTGAAATTTATACCTTGGACATCCCCGCCCCGGCACCCGCTCTGTTGTCGTTGCAGAAACCAGTCTGGGCCCTCAGTGCCTGGCGTTAGCAGCTGCCAGCGGGACCTTGAGGGGCTGGTGTTCGTACCACTGCCGCTTACGTCTGTTGAGAGGAAGAAGAATACCTTAATAAATATTTAAATGTTTCCTCTATTTCCTTTCAGCACAAAACGTTTAATTGTGGATGTCATCCGGTTCCAGCCAGGAGAGACCTTGACTGAAATCCTAGAAACACCAGCCTCCAGTGAACAGGTAAAACTGGGGGGTTAACACAAACTGGGGGGTTAACACACACCATAGCAAGGTGCAGAGACGGTCCTATGATGGGGGGACACAGGTAACTAGAGGTGGCCATTTGAGGGTAGACCCGAGCCTGGTGGCAGTTTAGGCTTGTTGAGTGACACTTACACGCACTATGTGTGTATGTGTGTTTTAATGTAGCCCGAGGCAGAGTCAGTGCGTCTGCCTAGTGATTTATTGAATTTAATGTAGTTATAATTTTAAATACTTTAGTAGATACAATAAAAGTACAGGATACAGCTCCTAACCTCAACCAGTTCCGGATCGGGTTAGGGAAATGTGGTACAGATGCCGGAAACAATTGGGAAACCTTTAAAATGTAACTGTAGTATTGGCTGTAAAAATGGTAGAGGTTCAGGAACGAGGCCAGTGAGGAGCAAAGCAGCAGGAAGAAGTGGCTCTTGAGCCGCACTCAGAAAGAACAGACAGGGTGTGGCACCGGAGGGCCTTGCCCGCCGGACGGGGGAGGGGCAGGGTGATGGGACTGGGCACTGAGAGCTCAGACGCGAGAGCAGACCGTGCGGAGCCCAGGGCCTGGGCCGCAGTGGGGCGCTGGAGAGGTCAGGGCTACAGAGACTTGTGACTCCGGCTGGGGCTGGTTAATGCTGATTGACTGATGGCACCATCGGAGCAGATGCGCGCTGAGTCATCTCGGTGTGTGATAAGGTCCCGGCCCGGCTGGGTGGGAGGCTGGGTGGGAGGCTGGGTGGGGAGGCGGCGTGGCCGAGAGAGGTGGATGAGTCACATCATGGTTAAGACTCCTGTTTCCCGTTCTCTTAAAATGAGACACATTGGTCAAGTCATTTGTTCTCAGATTTTGAACATAGGAACCCTTTCCATTAAATGACAGTTTACTTGGAAGCCATATATGTAAAGCAGGTAAAATTGGAGCTACTCTTAACAGCAGCAGGAAGGGGGCCCAGGGAACCCCGCTTTCTGGGACCCTGTGGCCCCTGCGGGAGTCCCTTCGGGCTGCACAGAGGGCTATTTAAAGACATGGCTTTAAATGAGTTCTCCTCTTTTAGAAGCTGTGATTGGTTACTGACTAGACAGGTGTGTATGAGGGGCAGGAAAAGAGGCAAAGAGACATAACCAATAACTGCGACATAGTTAACCTACAGGAAAGTTAGAAGTGGGGAGGGGGAGCCATCTTTACTGAGAACCTGAGATGCTGCTTTGGTGCTTCCATTTAATCCTTGCACCTTCCCTGTGAGGCGAGTCTCCTTATCCTCCTTTTACAGGTGAGGAGGCTGAGACCCTGCGGGGTGATTAACTTGCCCCGGGTCGTCTCCTTGTAGTGGCAGAACCGGACAGGGACCCGCTGTCCAACTCCAGAGCTTATGCTCTTCGTATCCGGGGCTGTGGAGTAGCCTCGACACCAAGGGGCAGTGAAGGCAGCGTGGGAAGGGAAGTGCGGCAGCGTGGGACGAGTCACAGGCCTTTCCGACTGAGCATCCCGGCGCCAGCAGCTCAGAATGTGGCCGTCGAGTCTTCATGGCAAAGATTTGGGATCTCTCAGCACAGGCGATCACTGACGTACTGAGACTGAGCATTACAGGAGAATGACCACAGGCCTCTTGCTCAGGGCAAGGGGAAAATGCAGAGATGAGCAAGTCGACCCCTGAGAAAAGGCACTGGATTTGGGGTGGGGGATGGTCACTGGCGATGAAAGCAGCAGGCGCAGAAGGCCCCTGGCAGAGAGATGAAGAAGAAAGTGCTGAATGAATTGAACAGCAGGGGTGGATCGCAGCATGTCGGGGAGGAACGGACTGGGCAAGTGTTAGATGTTGACTGGGAGAGACAGAAGAATCAAGGGAACGTCTTGTGTTCCCAGTACTGCCATTAGCAGCGTGTTTAAAAGCAGAGGGGAGGCCTGACTATGATTTAGCCTGGACAAGCTGGCGAAAAGGATTACCAAGAACTTACCGAGCACTGGTGCTGCGCTGGTGTAGTGATAACACTTGTTGAGCTGTATTTCAAGTAAAAGTAAATGGCTTCCAGATCCCAAAATGTGACAGGGGAAAAAGGAGGGATTTCACAGCCAGTAGATCCCAGTGTCCTAATTATAGCAGAGAATCTAAGAGAGAAGCCAGGTGATTGGAAGATCTGCCTGTACTTTGTGCAGTTTCTCTGTCAGCGGTTGGCAAAGCTGTTTCCCCTTGTTCCCAGAATGCGGTTTGGGAGCTGTGTAAATTCAGGTGCGGGTATGCTGTGTGAAGTTGGTTTTGGGTTGGTTACCTGCACTTACCGGGAACTTCTTTTGTCTTCCACGTAGGAAGCAGAGCATCAGAGGGCCATGCAGAGACGTGCTATCCGTGATGCCAAAACTCCTGACAAGATGAAAAAGTCAAAATTTGTGAAGGAAGACAGCAACCTCACTCTTCAGGAGAAGAAGGAAAAGATCCAGTCAGGGTTGAAGAAGCTAACGGAGCTGGGGACCGTGAACCCAAAGAACAGATACCAGGAACTGATCAACGACATTGCCAGGGTACTGCGTCGGGGCAGGGTGGCCTGGCCATGGTTAAAGCTCCCTCAGAGGCTCGTGAAGAGGCAGTAACTGTTCAGAGGACAGCATACCTTCAGTTCGTGGGCATATTAGTGTCCTTTCCTATGAAGAATCACTTCTTATTTAACATGAGGACTTGCCCACCCTTTGATAACTTATTTCAGAGCCTAAATTAATAGCAAGACAGAACTAGAACCTCCTGTGTTTCAATTTGTCTTTGGCCTCTGGAATTTTCCAGGTCTTTTTAATGGTTTCTACATGATATAAATTCACATTAGTTGATCATCAAGTCCTTATCATTTTCTCTTTCTCCTAACAACATATTTAAGAGGTTTAAACCAGCTTTGCAAGTAAATTCTAAGAATGTGGAAGTTTATAAAGGTAACAATAGTTCCCGACCTCTAGAAAACACAAATGGGGGAGGGGGGGATAGAGAAATCTGCATTTCTTTGTTTTATTGAACATGAGTTCCTGCCTATTAAGAATGGGTGGTCACGCAAGGCAAAGTTAAGCTCTCCTGGGTTCTGGTGTTAATGGTTGAAGAAGCACATGAATCTCTCATTATTTTCCTCATTTTAATAATTGTGTCCCAGGATATTCGGAATCAGCGGAGATACCGGCAGAGGAGGAAGGCTGAGCTGGTGAAACTGCAGCAAACGTACGCTGCTCTGAACTCCAAAGCCACTTTCTATGGAGAGCAGGTGGATTACTACAAAAGCTATATCAAGACCTGCCTGGATAACCTGGCCAGCAAGGGAAAGTGAGTATTGCTTTTAAGGAAGCCCTGCAAGGGGAAAAAGAAGCAGGGGCAACTGTAGTGACATGGGAAATTGTGGCGTACAACATGCTGGTCCCCCTTATTTCATTAGTTCATTTTGCTTCGGATCATTTGTGCAAATTCCCGGTCCCATTTGTCATGGCACAGTGCAAATGAACGCTGCTTGGGGGATTTCATGGGTGCTTATTTCTAAGCATTCCGTATTCCAAAATATCGTCCTGGTCCTAGAAATTAAAGAATCATGATGGAGATTATTTAGTGGTCCAAAACCTGGCCGTGCCTCAAGATCATGTAAGGAGTATTAAACAGACACAGTCAGTCTCCGACTTTCCTGGTCGCTGAGGAAAGTTGCCAGATTTTCTATTTTTCCCTTGTACAGGCCAAAAACCATCAGTCTGCTTGTTTTATAGGGAGGGAAACTGAAAACCCAGAGAGGTGGGCGGTAAGTGTAGCTTCTCCTTGTAGGTTAGTTTGTTTTTTGCTCCTGACTTTTCATTTTAAGAATTTTCAAACCTCAGGAGACTTGAATGAATAGAACAATAAACACCCGCATACCCTTTGCCTAGATTCACCTGTTTTTAACATTTGCCACAGAATCAGTTCTCTCTCTCTCTCTCTCTCTCTCTCTCCCTCTCCCTCTCTCTCAAAAATCAGGCCCATTTTACCCAGTTTGCAGGGCTGGCTCCTGTGTCCTTTGGACACATCCCTGTCATCCTTGAGAACTTCCTGACTTTACAGTACCAAGATGCTTCTGGTTCAGCTTGTACTCCCCACCCCGCCCCGCCCCCGGCCGGCTTGGAATTAGCTCTTTTTCCACTCCTGCAAAAAGAGCTAATTCCCTTTAATGATTCCTGATTCCCTTTAATGAGGAATGGTATTTGGAAACCAAGATCTAGGCACTAAGTGGGTGCATTCCCATGGAGCTGTCACTGCTTCTAGGCCTGCTGAGACAGAGCAGTTCACATTTCTTTTTAATGCCTGTGTAGTATTCTGTTGTGTAGATGGATATAACAACTGATTTAGTAAGCTCTCCATCGGTGGACTTTTATGTTATTTCTAGTTACTTATGAAAAATCCTGCAACAAATAACCTCTTGTACATAGGTTGTTTTCCCAATGTGGGCATATTTTCAAAGATAAATTCCTAAAAGTAGAATTGCTAGGTCAAAAGTCTTATATAATTATAATGGCGACAGATATTTCAGTTGCCTTCCATAGGGATGATTCCCCTTCATGCTCCTACCAGCATTTCTACCCCATTTTTTGAGACCCAACCCCAACTGTGGAGTTCCAGATCCCTGGGTTTCATTTATCTCTTTTTTCTTTACTTACTTTTGTTACTTCTTGCCTCAATTATCCCAATTGCTCCTAACATCTGTTCCTTTTTCTTGCTCCCATTCCTCTGTAACTGCTATGCTGGCTTAAACTCTTTCAAAAAGTATCATCCTGAGATGCTTCTGTTTTTTCCCTGCACAGCCAGGGGGCTTAGAGTAGCTCCCCTGGGGTTCGGTAGAGTCCTGGGGACTGGCGTTAGGAGCCCCGCAGGTTCTGGGAGGGGCTTAGGTTCTGCGAAGGATGTAGGAATATTAAGACAGTCAAATTCATGAGGCGCTCTCAAATGTAATTGAAAGATAAAATCGATTTAGTAATCTTCCCTTGTTTTTCAACAAAGTTGCCTAGGCAAATCCTAACATTTATTTGCCATTTTAGAATTGGTATGTTACCCTTGTGAATGGGAAGTTCGTTTTCTGACCTCATATCCTCAAATTACCAAAAGAATTGAGGTAGATAGTTATTTATAGAAAATTTCATGACTTCATTTTACAGGGTCTCCAAGAAGCCTAGGGAAATGAAAGGAAAGAAAAGCAAAAAGATTTCTCTGAAATATACGGCAGCAAGACTACATGAAAAAGGAGTTCTTCTGGAAATTGAGGAACTACAAGTGAATCAGTGAGTATTTACTTTCTTACCTTGTTTTGTATGTTGCTATTTTTTCAAAAAATTTCTGCATTTATCACATATTTCTCTTATTGCCTTTATTTCTAATGCCTGGCTGATCACTTTTATATTTTTCTGCCTATTCATACATGTTTATGTGCAGAATTAGACCTGATAATAAGAGTTAATTGTCTGTTATCAATAGGAAGTACTTCTTTTCCTTGTTTGTCTAAGGACATTTTCACACCAGCTGCGTGGATCCCCATTTAATTTCCCTCTTTAAAGTGGGAAGCCATTTCTTCCATTTCTTCTGTTTCTGAACAAAGACACTTATAAAACTGGAACTCTCTACCAATTAAACAACACTCATTCCCCTTTCTCAGCCCCTTTCAAACCCTTATGATGTCCTGTTTCAACAGGTTTAAAAACGTTATCTTTGAAATCACGCCAACAGAAGAAGTTGGAGACTTTGAAGTGAAAGCCAAATTCATGGGAGTTCAGATGGAGACGTTTATGTTGCATTATCAGGTGAGTCTGCGCCAGGGGGAGCCAAAAGCTCTGTGTCTGGAGTGGTCGTGCTCTTGTCCAGGTTGGGGAACCGACAGGAAGGAGGCCTGTCCAGGGAGAGCTGTCCGTGTTTAGTGAGTGGGGAGCGGGGCTCCACACCAGGAGAAAGGAGCTGTGTCTGGTTTCTGGGCGTCTGGTCTGGTCTGCACACTCTGAGATATGGGAGCCTTCAGAGATCAGTTACCTGAAGCTCCCGCTTAGTGTTGCCACTAAATTGAGCTTATACTGTAGACTCGAACAAAAGGCTCACCACAGCCTTCAGAGGAGCCTCTGGTACTGTAGGCACTGACCTAGTTTCCTCCCACCCCTAAACTGTGAACTCCTTGCGAACACATAGTGTTGCTTTGTTTCCTTCTCAGTGACCGGAGACCCTCAAAACATGTTAGTGGAACAAATGTGAAATGGTTTTGTGATGCCGTAGCTAACTCAAGTACTTGTACAAAAAGGTCTCATTATTCCATCAGTTTCCCCAAATTCTTTTTTTTTTTAAGATTTTATTTATTTGTTTTCAGAGAGGGGAAGGGAGAAAGGGAGAGAAACATCAATGTGTGGTTGCCTCTTGCGCACCCCCTACTGGGGACCTGGCCCGCAACCCAGGCGTGTGCCCTGACTGGGAATCCAACCACCAGCCCTTTGGTTCGCAGGTTGGCACTCAGTCCACTGAGCCACACCGGCCAGGACAGTTTCCCCAAATTTTTACAGGCTGCCCAGTCCGCTTCAGGTCGTGTGTTCCTCTGTGTACAAATTCATGACAAGTGGGACGACCGCAGGTGCAAGGCAGTTTGTCAGGCACAGGTGACGCACCCGGGGCCCGGTCTTCATGGAGCCGCTAGCATTTTTCTTAACAGAGGAACTCGTTGAAATTCTGGGGCCCTTTCAAGCCCTCTGACTCTTGCTTTCTCATCACTACTCTTCGGAAGCTGAGTCGGGGAGGCCAAGCAGATTTCCTGGGCTCGCTTGGCCAGTGGAGGGAGGTGGGAAGAGCAGCGGCTGCGCAGGCAGGTCCCAACTCAGCACATCCATTCACCCTCCCTGAGTCTCGTCTTTAAACTTGGATAATCACCCCTCGGGGGATTTTTTTTCAGACTTAAAAAGACACTGTGTAGTGTGCTCATACAATATCAAAGGACATGGCAGACACGCAATAAACATTTAGTCCTCTCTTTTTCCCCATCTTCAGAATATAAAAGCTTTTTCTTGTGAAACAAATTAAGACTCTAGCAGATATTGTTGAGACAACATGACTGGCCTGTCTTGTTTTCAATGATTAGTAGATCTCATCAGGGATTGAAATGCCTCCATCTTCTCCAGGCTGACCCATCACTTAGACAAACTAGAGACACATAATTGTGAAATAAAAAGCGTAGATGTGTGTGATAACTGAACACGCTGCTCTTTCTTTGCATGATTTGTGTATTTCGATATGAGCCATGTGACTTCTTAACTCCAAATGTACCAGAAAGTTTGGTTGACCAACATGCGCTTTGCTGGTGCTCGCAGGGTGGCGGTGCCTTGGTGGCTCCGTGTCGGGAGCTTCCTTCTCAGCCCAGGCTGCCCCAGGCCCGTGAGGAGCGCCTCTTTCCTTCTGGACCCCTCTCCACATGTGTCCTTCCTGGTCTTGTCCCACGGACTTGATTAACTTTGAAAATGTTTTTCTGAACAGGACCTGCTGCAGCTACAATATGAAGGAGTTGCAGTCATGAAATTATTTGACAGAGCTAAAGTAAATGTCAACCTCCTGATCTTCCTTCTCAACAAAAAGTTCTACGGGAAGTAATGATCCTTTGCTGCCAGCCCAGGAGGGTGAAGGAAAGAAGCACCTCGCAGCTCCTTCCTGGGGCCCCTTCACTCACGGGAAGCAGAGGCCCTACCGCAGCGGGGCCTCGCCAGGACGCACTCCCAGGGCCACCTTTGTAACTCCTCCCTCTCCAACTGGACATTCATAGCAACCTTTTTTAAATAGTGAAAGTATACTTCAGGCTTAGTCTCGACCCTTCTTGTTCCTTTGTTTTTTTTTTTTCTTTCACTTAGGAAAGAATGGGAACTTGACTAAAATCTTTGTGTTGTTTTGATCTTAGAGGTTTCATTACTATGTTGTAAGCTTTGGTGTTTGTTTTAATCAGCAGTAGTAATGGTGGGATTTGAAGTCTTGTGATTTAAAGGGGAAGCTATCCACACCAGTAGCACATATATAAGACCCAATAACAAGGTCAGGTTACCTATCCCTATTAGGTTGTCATTGAAAAGTTAAGTTCTTTTATATTTTTGTCTCATCTGTCAAATTGAAGGATGCGAGGGTTATTGGACCTCCTCCCTCTGCTTCCCTTTATGGACAGGAGCTAATAGAAGTCAGTGTTCTGTGTTCAAAGGAAGCATTTCTAGGAAAGGGAAATAATGTCCTTCAACTTCACCAGTAAATTTCGACAATTCTGTGGATGGGAGTCAGTGGATGGGAGGGTCCCGTTGACAAAATCCAGATATTTAGGTAAATTGAAGCTGTCGGAGGCGCCTGCCTGTGGGTGCTGGTGCCTAGAGATTGACTAGATTTGCGAAGCCGCTCCCCTCCGTCCCTGTGGCAAAAGAACGGGTAGCCTAGCATAGGATGTAATTTTTTCAAAAATGTTTGATATCTTAAGAGTGCCTTATTAAAGTATAGATTTATGTCTTAAAATGTGGGTGATAGGAATTTTAAAGATTTATATAATGTTTCAAAGCTTTTAAAATACTGTAAGAAAAGGTTTTTAAAAATTGGCTTATCTGTATATCTGAAATCTTTAAACTTTCTTATAGCTCAAACACTAGGATTTGTCTGCAGGGTTGCAGAGAGAGAATCCTGTTTTAAATAGACTGAAACAAAATTTTTTTTTTTAAGCCCAGCCAACCAATGTTACACTTGATATTCAGATCTATTTTTTCCATTTCTTTTTCTTTTCTATTGCTGCCCACGCTCTGCTTTTATCATCTGAACTCCAGTTTTCTGGGTTTAGTAAAAAACAATTCAATTCTAAACATTAAGTTTTTAAGAAGTTTTTATTCTTAGATAAAAAGTCATATACTTTTTTTAAAAAAATTTGTTTATCCAGGAAACTCTATTAAATCATGCTACTGAGCCTCCATTTTGTCTGATGTTTTGGTTCAGTATTCTTTTATTGTAAGACATAAAACTTAACCAAATAAACTAACAATTAAAAATTTACCAATGTATATTTAAAGCCAATAAACTGTTTTGTTAATAACAAATTATGTGATGTGTCCCTCTTACAGATGTAAGTATTGGAGATGTGTTTTTCATAATAGACTGTTTACATGGACCACGGTCAGGTCCGTGGGTGCAGATGTAAGTTGTGTGTCTTTGCACATCCCTAGAAGCCCACAGGCAGGTGCGGAGGTCAGGTGGCATGTGCCACGGAAGGAGTCTCCGCGCCCTGACCTCGTCTTCTGTCCTATTTCTCAGATAATTTTTTAGTAACTGTTTTCCTCAGAGTAAAAGAAGATGGTGTTAAGGTAGCATTGTCTCAAAAACTGGGACCAACCAAAGTGTCAATCCGTTTACATTCGAAGAGAGTACTCATCCTAGGCTTGTTTGGCCCCAGAGGCCACGTCCATGACAGACACTGAGCCAAGTTTACAATTCCTTTGCTATTACATGACTTTGCAATTGTCTGTAGCCTTTTAGTTCCCTTGTCACAACTTTTAATGCAAAACAGCACGAAATGCACTTCCAGAATTTGGATGGTAACTATATGTGGAGTTACGGTTGTAGCAGCATGGAGAAAACTCAGATGAGTCCCAGTGCATTGAAACCGCATAGCTCTTCTTCATATTTATTAGTCGCAGCCTTCTCTGGTCTCTCTCCTTCTTTGACCTTCTCCTCCACCAGATATCATGACATTTACCATGAATTTACTTCCTCCCAAGAATTTGGACTGCCCATCAGATTGTTGCTGTGCACAATTGCCTTTGTATCTCTTTGTATGAAATAAAAGGTCATTTGTTCATGTTTGTGTTTATTTTTCTCAGTTACATTGTGAGTAGTTCCTGCTAAACAGTGTTGATTAGAGTGAGACTTAATAATTGAAAACAACCCTTTGTAGTCTTTTGAAGGAGCAAACACAACTCAGCTAGCAAATCACTGAATTATCTCAGAGATTTTTAACATGTGAGTAGCCTTTTTAAATGTAATATGCTTTAACCTCAACATGAAAAGAAATAGTGGGTGCGGAGGACAAACTTAACGCCGCTGCGTACTGATTGGTCAGTGGCTGAAAGTTTAAAATTTCAGCAGCATTTAATGTTAAATGACAACATGGACTAAGGGGAAACGGAATAATTCTAAAGGGAGTGCAAATGAACACTTGGAGGTGATGGTCTGTGTGAGCGGCCAGTGATGACCCAACGCCACTCTGAGGGAGAGCGAGGCGGTGAGAATATGGCCTTCCCAGCAGGGCAGCGGTCCGCGGGGTGGCGGGGCGCGGGCGGGGGGGTGCCGCGTCCCTGCGCCTCAGTTCTCTCCTTTGGAAACGGAGCTGATGCTGTCCGGCAGGTGTGCTCCTGAAACCCGAAATAAACTGTTTTAACAACCTATGCTCTACATTGTCCTGCGAAGAAGTCAGTGGAGTTAGAAGGGTCCTGATCAAGGCCTCACAATGTTAAATAATGAAAATGAGAACAAAGGGAAAATAGGAGGAAGGTAAGATGGAGCCTGGAGTGATGAGTAGACAAGGAGTGTGCCCAGGGTCCCCTGTTCCTGGTGGGAAGCCACAGCACAGCTGCTCCCTGCTGGCCAGGGCAAGCCCAAAAGGAATCTGAGAAGACTACCGCCACCATTTTACCTATGACATCTAATTTTCTTTTTTTTATGTTTAAATTGTAAAGTGTGTACTTGCCAACATATTGTGAATTTCGAGATAAAAATGACCTCACAAAGGAATCCAATGGAACCTGTCCCCCATCTGCTGTAAAAGGTATGTGAGCGAAGATCTTTGTCAGTTGGAAACTTGACCTCTTTTTTCCCCTACAAACTCATGTTTCTATTCCACTTCCCTCAGAATTTTATCTTATTGTAATATTTTAAGCATAAGTCTTGGTCACCCTGTCACAATTATGTGTAACAAACTTGTTTTATTTCCTGTGACAATAAGGCTGTTTAACTCAGTCCAGAAAAAATATTTTGCATCATAATTATTGTTACTATGTCTTTGATCAAAGAAATGCAGTATGTTGTCATGACAAAGAATTCTGAAAGTAAGATTTGAAATGCATTTCTTAATGAGATAAATGAAGGTTTTTCAAATGAAGGTTTAAGAAACTTTTGGATCAGTATTACTACTTGCTAGAATGAGGTAGGGTTCATAAACAATTCTCTTCCTAGTTTTCATTTTTATAAATGTAAACTGAGAAACTTTGCTGTCATAGTAAGCATATGGAAATGGGAGGTGTTTTATTAGAGCAAAGTCACCCATTTTTTTACTATGAATTATAACCTTTTGACTTAGAGTCAACTTTGTTGAAACCCAATATGCTAAAGATGCGTTGGGAAAATTGAAAGATTTTAATGCTCCTTTTGCACTACAAATTTTAAACTTCTTTTTCATTATGAAGCGCTGCTAATTCATGAACAGGGAACAGTCTGATGAACTCCCATGCGTTCGCCACACACAACCACACTTTCGTCTCTACCTCCACATGCCCCCTCCCCCAAGGTTATTTTGACAAATCCCAGATAGAGTATTTCAACCATTAATACTTAAGTATTTTTCTCAACAGGGAACAGTCGTGCGGCCAGGAGACATTTGGCAATGTTTGGGGTTATTTTGTGTTATCCCAGTGAAGGGAATGCTCCTGGCATCTATGGGGTAGAGCAAGGATGCTGCTAAGCATCTTACGGTGGGTGCATAGCCGCGAGTCATCCAAAGTGTCAATAGGACGAGGTGAGAAATCCCATTCTTTACAGATAAGGACTTTTTAAAAAATCCCCAAACCATGACCATACCTAAAACATAATTTTAAACCATCCAATATGCAGTGTTTACATTTCCCCAGTCATGTAATTGCTTAAACAGTTCATGTGTTTGAATCAGGTGCCAAATGAGGTCTACCCATGACATGTAGTTGACAGACCTCAGAAATCCCTTAATCTATAAATTAAATTCTACCCCCCCCCCTTTTTTCCATCTTGCAATTTATTTGATGTTGATCCTGTAGAATTTCTACATTCCAGGTTTCTTATTACATCTTTGTGGATCAGACAGTTTGAACTTTTTGGCAAGAATATTTTGAAATTCCTATTACATCACATCAGGGTCTTATCTCTTTATGCTGTCAGGTAGCCTGGTCATTGTGTTCAGATGTTGCCAGCTTGACCCACTTGTTATCAAGTTTCCCATCAGCTTTTCATCACAGGTTACAAGAATTCAGCAGCCACTGATGACTGCCTAGGATCTCTTATTTCATCAGGGTTTACAAAATGGTGATGTTCTAAGTCTATAATTCCTCCATTTCTCAGCTGCTTCTAAAAAGAATTTCTTGTCATCAACTGTTTGGTTACTTTAAAGAGTGTTCATATCAGAAAAGATGTGTGCAATCCACTGTAGATATTTCTTAAAGGTTTTATTTATTTTTAGAGAGAGGGGAGGAAGGCAGAAAGAGAGGAAGAGAAACATTGGTTTATCGAGTGTCTCACACACCCCCAACCAGGGACCTGACCTGCAGCCCAGGCATGTGCCCCCAACCAGTAATTGAACCAGTGACCTTTCAGTTTGCAGGACGATGACCAACCCACTAAGCCACACCAGCCAGGGCTACTGTAGATTTCTGTAAATGCTCAAATTGTCCCTTTTGGGCAGTAGAAGTACCTTCCCAGTGACTATTGAGTCATTGGACATGACCCTAGTTGTATTTAATAGCTTCCTTGCTCTCTGGCATATGATATCTCAGCCTCATCTTGTTACCTTTCTCAGCCGAGCCCTGGAATCCGTCATTTCTCCAAGGACCCCTGTTTACTTTTAGTGGGAAACGGTGTGTGGAGACCGGAACGCAGCCTGTGTGCCAAGGGGGCCGGGTGCTCGTCAGTTCTGGGTTGGTCATTGTTCTAAGCCTTTTTTCATTGAAAATGGTGGTGGTTTTTTTTTAAAAAGAACATTTCCTGAGTTCATAAGACCAATTTTTAAATCAAATGCTTTTATCTTCATATGTGCAAGTCCATGAAAGAAAAAAAAATGCCCCCATCAGTATGTCAGTTCCATGGAGTAAATACTTCCCCACGACTGAGTTCAAGCTTGATATCACTTGTCACTGAATGGAAAATTGGGAAGAGACGCTAACAGTCAGCCCTCATGAGCTATTATAAAACTGCTGATTTTATCCCAAGAATAATAGGGAGCCGTGGTTGGATTTTAAAAAGAGAAGGAAGAAATTGTCAAAATTAGGCTTTAGAAATGCGAGGTGTGGATGGGGATGAGGCAGCACGCAAAGGCAGGTCATGCGGGGCCTCTTCTGGTCGTCCCTCCAGGTCCACTGTCCACCGTCTAGTCTTCTGGGTTCCCTGGAAAGCGGGCCCCACGGACTGCACCGCGGTGGCCCTGCAGCTTCTGGTTGGGCTTGGTCAATGACAAGCACGGCAGGGAGGCAAGTTCTGGAAGGAGGTGAGGTGGGGTTTACTCCAGGTCACTGGGGTGGCTGCCTCTGCCTACCGAAGGCCAGAGCCACGTCCAGGCAGCTCTCCCCCCACAACTCTCCCCCCATGAAGCAAGCTGCCCCCTGGGCTCTGAGTGCTGGTGGTCCCTGCTCTCCCTAACCCCAGGGGCGCTGCATTATCCCCCGGACCCTGCCCTGTCTCTTTATTAGCCTTCTCTCAAATTACCACTTTGAGCGCACTATCTGTTTGCTGATTCACAAGGGGACCAATTAAGGTCTCAATTAGCAAGAGTTTGGTGGCCTGAATTGGATAGTGGTTGTTAGGATGGAAAGAGAGGGATGTATGCTAGAGACATTTATTAGGAAAATAGAGTTGATTTACTGGGTGTTAGGGGAACAGTAGAACTCAGTGGAACACTGGGCCTGCAAGTGCGCCTTTGAAGGAGTCTATGAAGAGGAACGTTTGGGAAGTGCTGTATTCCATTGTTCTACTTGCAAGTCAAGACACACATCAGCATATGAAAATGGTTTGCAAAGTCCCTCAGTCAAGAGAATCTGCTTAACTCTGAGTTACCTAGCTCTCACCAAATGTATTTGACTGCAGTCCCAATCCCAGCCCTCTTAACTTTTTCAGAAAGCTCCCGTTAGCCATCTGTGAAACTCGTTCCATGGGACACATTTCGAAGTGCTGGAGAAAGAGGCTAGACTAGAACGTGACCTCAAGCTAATAACTAGTAAATATAAATATTACTTAAGAAACAAACAAAAAACAAAAAAATTGCTAATAGCAATCTCTGCATATGTGTGTGTGTATAAACATTTTTGTTTCCAGAAACAAGGAATCTATACATATTTAGTGTCTTTGTCTTAATTTTAAACAGAGTCAAGGATCACCACAGTTTTGAGGATAGCTTCCAGGTGCAGACCAAAATAAACAAACTAAAAAAAAATTAACTCGGGCAAAACACAGACAATGTAAGGAGTAGAAGAAAATAAAACAGAAATAACCTGTAATTAAAGCACATCAAGGAAATGAATACAGGGTGCTATTTAAAAAGAAACATTCAGAAATCGGGAAAGGGCATTTAGAATTAAAAATATAATAGCAGAAATAAAAGTTCAAACAGAAGGGTTGGAGAATCAAGTTGGAAAAATTTATCAGGAAATAGAGCAAAAAAAGCCAAAGCAATGAAAAATAGGAGAGACAAGAAAAGCTAGAGCAATCTAGAAGAACAACCTGGAAGACCCATCAGCTAACAGAATTTCTGGAAATAAAGGACAAAGAGTGAAAATTATCAGAAAGAGAAGACAATTTCCTGGAACCGAAGGATCTGAGTGTCCAGTTTCTGCACATACACATGGTGCTCAGCGCAATAAGCAGCAAAAGTCCCACATCAAGGCACATCATCGTAACACATCAGGACACTAAGTGTTCAGAGAATGGGGAGGAAGTCAAAAATAAACAACACCTCAAAAAAACAGGTCACCTCCAAAGGAGAGAGAAACAGATATGAGCGGCCTTCCCAACAGCAGCACAAGGAGTGAGAAGAAGCGATGCAAAGATCTAAGTGAAAAGAATTTACTATGACTATTCACAGCCCAACTATCAATCAAGTCTGAGGGTAAAACAAAACCATGTGCACACATGGTCTCCAGGATTTTATTTTTTTATGTACTCTTCCCCTCACCCCTCAGGAAACTACTGGAGAGTGTACTGCACTAAAATGAAGGAGAACATGAAGCAGGAGGACCAGGTGGGAGGCAGGAAGCAGAGGTGAAGGGGCAGGAGGTGAAGGTGCCCTCAGGACTGTGAGGAGGGGGAGGAGCTGCAGAAAAGTTCTGTGATGGATTGAGAGAACTCTGAGCAAATAAAAACAGAGGGAATTTTATTTTTAATTTTTTTAAATTGATTTTTTTAGAGAGATAAAATACTGATTTGTTGTTCCACTTATCTATGCATTCATTAGTTTCTTGTGTATGTGCCCTGACCAGGGAATCAAACCTCCGACCTTGGCGTATTGGGAAGATGCTCTAACCAACTGACCTACCTGGCCAGGGCCAAAGTGGAGGCAATTTTTAACTGTAAAAAAAAGTGCAAAACTGGACCTATAGTAAACACTTAACATAACAAAAATGAACTACATTGAAAAGTTGAGAGCAGGAAAAATCATATTTTTGATGCGGACACAAAATAGCCAAAGCATTCTTTTCCATAATAGAAAATAAATAATTAATATCAAAAATTGAATAAAAAAATCACAAAACAGCAAGATATACTTATTTTTAGTGGGAATTTGGAATTTTTAAAAATTATAAATCTTAGGAAACTTCTGAAACAATGTACATGTATTTATTTGACTTAAAAGTAAATTTAAAAATGATTAGGTTAATCATAAGAGTAGAAATGCAATGAATATCTTCCAAATCAACAGGGGAAATGTGCAAAATAAAAAAATAATTCAATGCAATAGAATGCAGATATGACAGATACCTACATTGGTAAATTGGTGGACGAATAGGGTGGATTTAGGTTAACACCCACTCCAGTGTCTTCCTGTGCCTTACTGTATTTCAGAGGCTGAAAGATTACAACTACATGTCCTAGATGTCATTGCAAGTATGATTCTGGATGCAATTTTGGCTCCTCGGTCACATTTCCTCTCTGATTTGATTCGTAAGGTGTAAGTGAAGCAGAGTCTGTGTGCGTGTGCTCTTCCTCTTGGCGAAGACTGTTATCGATTGTCTGATTTCTCTGCAGAGGCTTCTTACGACAGAAGCTGTATGGTTCAGGGGCTGGGAAGTGTAGTGACAGCTTTCCAACTCAACAAGTGGCTTCCAGATTTTAGAAGAGGCAGTGGCTCCTCTGGTGGCCTGGCTTTGCAGCATGGATCTCAAAGTCATTTCTGAATGTTCAATTTGGAGTCAACTTCTGTAGCAGCCCCCTGGCCAAGCCCTTAAGCCATTTTATACCCTATAATAATCCTTTTGTACTTAAGCTATGTAGAATGAATTCTGCTCTCTGAAACTGAACGCAGATTATATAAAAGGAAATCAGAAAATAAAATATATAGCCTTGGCTGGTGTGGCTCAGTGGATTGAGTGCCTGCCTGCGAACCAAATGTCACTGGTTTAGTTTCCAGTCAGGGCACATGCCTGGGTTGCAGGCCAGGTCCCCACTTGGGGGCATGCGAGAGGCAACCGATCCATGTATCTCTCACACATCCATGTTTGTTTCCCTTTCTCCCTCCCTTCCCTGCTCTCTAAAAATAAATAAAATCTTAAAAAATATATATAAAAAACTGGTAAAGAACACAAAATGAATTATAGTTAATAAAACAAGCTACACTCTAGCTAATAGAGATACAGTGTCACATTAAAAGTTATAAAAATCTAGCTAGTTGCTGTATAAGAGACATGAAAAACAATGAAATACTACACAGTAGTTAAAACAAATGAGTCAACACGAATGAATCTCAAAAACAATGGTAAATGGAAAAAGTTGCCAGGACTATTCAGCATGTCATTTTTGTAAGATTTAAAAACAAAATTTGGTATTCCATATGCAGTGGGTAGGTCCATACACCAGATGTAATAAAAATACAAAAAACATGAAGAGGGATGGAATGAAATGAACCAAGTTGAGCACAGTGAGTATCTCTAGGGATGAGGGAGAATAATGGTGGGGCTTTAGTTATGTCTAATTTTGTATTTATTTATTAAATAAAGCAAGTAAGGGAAGTAAAATATTTTGATACATTTCATCTTGATGATGGTGGGCGTGGGGTGTTAATATTGTTTTCTGTGCTCTTCTGCATATCTCTGATGTTTCCCGATTTATAAAACACAGACACGCTTTCATAGCTGTCCAGGACATCTTGATGCACGCCAGCATTCACACTGAGTGACCTCTGAACGGCAAAAGGAGACGCGTTGAGGTTGACAGGCTGGTTGTAAAAGGTGAGGATGACACCTGTCTGGAGCAGAGGCCAGCAGCTACAGGGAGGCTTGGAAAGAACGTGCAAAAGGAGCCCGACTGAGGAGAGCTAAGAGGTTGCATCAGGGCGGGGATGGTGTCTCAAGTTCGTGCAAACCGGGAGATGATTTTAAAAATATCCAGACTGAGTAACTTTGTCTTGGGTGGGCCTGAGCAGACTGTCAGCGAAACGAGTCGAAGGAGGGAGAGTAATGGGAGCTGGAGGCCCCCAAGGGCAGGAACTAAGGGAGAGAATTGCTCAAACTAAAGTCCCCCAATTTTCACCCCATGAAGTACACCATCATAATTTGGGAGCGAAGGGTGTTAAAACTGTTCTAAAATTATAACGTAAATCCGGAAACCTGGCTATCCCCAAAATGCAGCGTTTCAGTGAAATAGTAGGCTAGCCTCTCCCACACGTAGGATCCTTTTGCTTTGCTGATGGGGGTTTCCTCGGTCTGCGCGCGGAGGGATGCGGGTGGTGAGGGGAAGCTCTGGGACCTAGAGCCGAGAAGGGGGCGGGGGCCGCGGGCGGGGCCTAGCGGGAGGCACGGGGGCGGAACCGGGGCGGGGCGGAGCAGGGGCGGGGCCACCACGAAGAGAAGACTCGCGCGCTCCCGGCTGCTCACTCGCTGTGGGGCCGCGGCGGCTCCTCTGCAGGGTCGCACCCGAGGAAGGGCTTCGAGCGGCGAGTTGGGCTGTCTGCGGACTGACTGACCGACGGGTGGGCAGAGGCGCGGGCCCCGCGTCCGGCGTCTCCCCTTTGCCAGCGCCCGGCCGCGCTATGGCCTCTTCCCCGGGCTCGGGCAGCGCCAACCCGCGGAAGTTCAGTGAGAAGATCGCGCTGCACACGCAACGGCAGGCCGAGGAGACGCGGGCCTTCGAGCAGCTCATGACCGACCTCACCCTGTCGCGGGTGAGGGCCCGGGCCGGTGCGGGCGGGGGCGGCCACGGGCGCGGGCGGGCTCCGCGCGTGGGGTGAGAGGTCGCGGGCCTGAGGCGGCGGTGGGGCCGGGCCGGGGACGCGCCCGGGAGCGGGGCCGCCCGGCCGCGGCCTCAGCGCTATCCCGCCTTTAGACACCCGCGCGTCGTGGAGGTGGGAGGTCGCGCAGCCGAGCGTGCGGGGAGATGGGCTGGGGCCGCGCGGGCGAGGCGGGCGGCGGGGTGAGGGCGGCCTGAAGGGAAGGGTGACCGGGAGCCCGGGAGGAAATCGCAAACAGCCCGGTGGCGCGCAGTGCGCCTCCTCTTTGCTCTGAGCGTCCACCACCGCGAGCCCTTCGGGACCGCTGGGCGTCGGGGCCGCGGGCCCGAGAGTCCCACCCGCGCTCGGGAGCGCTCTGGGCCGGCCCGGGCGGCGGGGTCTGCGTGCTGCCTTTCTTACTTTCACTCCTCCCGGTGCTCTATCGGCCCGCTTACTGGGCTCGGCCCCGGGTATTTGACGAGAACGGGCAAGGTGCGCGGCGTCGCTGGTGACTGAGGGGGTTCGGGAGGAGGGAGCGAGGCGCGAGCGGGACAGACCCCGGCGAGGTGGGCAGCTGCCGAGTGGCGCCCTGGAGGATGGAGAGCGGGGCTGCCGAGGAGGTGGCTCGGCAGGAGCCGGGCAGGCCTGGAGGAGCCTGATGCTGACCTTGAGGGACCAGCGGGAGGAGGATGGGGGAGGATGTGGATGCTGGGGCAGGGAGGCGGCTGGAAGGAGCGCCGAGGGCAGGGCTGCAACCTGGCGGTCGCGGCCGCCCCGGCCCACCGAGCGGCAGACCCCCTATTGTTTTAGTCAGCACAGTGTTTGCGGAAAAACTTCTTGAATCTGTTGCCAGATTTTTTTTAATTGGCAAATCACAGAAAACCGAAGATTTCCACAGAAAATTTATTTTATATGTATATATATTTCTACATATATAAAAACATTTCTGTAAATACATATACTATTACATTATATATAATTAGAATGTTGGGAGGCCCTGATCCTGGATTCCCATACGAGAGCCATTGGCTGGAGCTGGGGGGCTCGGGCGCCCCCTCAAATGGAGCAGGAATTCTCTTGACTCGGCCGCAGGTCACACCCTGCCCTGTGACGCTCCGCGCACACCGAGGCTAAGTGTCACTTGCCATTTATTGTATTTTTGATGGTCTTTTCTTTTAGTGAAGTTAGGAGGAAAATGAAGTATTTTTATACTTACATTTCTGTCACACTCAGAAAAAAACATGTAGATAAAGAGGGCTGGAGATGTCAAGAAAAATTTTTCTCATGCCCTGACTAGCTTCATTCATTTATTACCTGCCTGGTGTCCACAGGTGTGTACCTGTGACCTTGGTCAGATTCAGGGATGAGCACGACGGGCTCAGAGCACATGGAGGAGAATGACTGGATGACAGCTGAGGATTCATGCTGGGGCCTGTGTTGTTTAGATAAATAATATATATACAAATACGTGCATTCTCTATGTCTGTGTACCGTATTTTGCCCTGTATAATGTGCTTCTGTGCATAATGTGCACCTGCAATTTTATGGGCTTTAGCTTTATACATGGGACTATGATAACCATTATTACACCCATGGTATGTCATCATTTTACCCATGTATAATGTGCATCCTTATTTTTCCCTCAAAAAAATCTGGGCCAAAAAAGTGTGAATTATACACAGCAAAATACAGTACCTAGAATTGATCCAGTTTCTCACCAAGTTCATGAATCCCCCTTAAAACATCCCTGACAGATCAAACCATGACTAAGGTACAGACTTTTTTAAAGTCAAAAACTTTGCCTTTAAACCAGGGGAGCTTTGCATTTTCAAAGAATGCTTCTAGCTCCAGAATGGTGGCTAGAATGGAGGAGGAGGTGGCAAAGAAACACGAGGTTGTAATACTATTCTAGGATACGTGGCGATGGCATTGAGAGGGAGGGCTCGAGGGTGATCCTTAGCTTTCAGACTTGAGCCATTTCAGGGTCCCTTCCATAGAGAGGGAGCACTGACAGGAGCAAGGAGGGAGCAGACTCCTCAGTGCAGAGAGATGCTGAGTTTGAGGTGCTGCTGAGTTGTAGGGAGTTGGTAAGTGGTGCTAGAGCTCAGGAGGGAAGTCTGGACTAGTGATAGAAATGTGGGATCTTCAGTGTGTAGCTGCAAAAGTAGGTTTGGCTGCCTGGGAAGAATTTCTAGAATACATCTTGCAAGTTAGTTGCCTAAATTCTAATTTGGCCCTCTGACATGTTTTTAATTTGGAGGACCCAAATATGTATTTTTCAAAAAATTAGGGCCAACAATGAATATTGAGATTTAACATGAAAATATGAACTCTGGCTTGTTTTGAAAAATGAGATTATCTGACAACACTCACCCTACGTTTCTGCATGGCAGCAGTTACCCAGAACCGAACAGTGGCTGCCACCATTAGGTAGGGAATGTGTGTTCTTTGGTTTGCCACAATTCCCACCACTCCCTATGGTGTTCCTCACAGTGACTCCAGCCTGCTTCACTTCATTACCTTCCATACTTGGCATCTGTAGGCATTTGAGTTTGTAACCCCTGCTACATAGACTGAGTTGCAAAGAGGGTCTCGGAGAAGCCCATGTGGCTCCACCATTTCAAGGAGACAGAGAAGAGGAGAGGAGGGGGAGCGCCAGCAAAGAAGACTAAAGAGCCACTAGACAGAAAAGCCAGGAGGGTTATTGTTTAGAGGGGGGAATGTTGACCAGCCTAGACCAGTGCTGCTGACTTGGTCTAACATGATAAGGACACGTCCTCTGGTCTACTAGTTACATGGAGGTCATTGGTAACCTTGGTGTGAGCTACTGCATTCACAGGTTGCTGGCTGGAAGGGAGGTTGTAAAGCAGCAAGGAAAGAATGGGACAAAATGGAGACAGGGTTGGGAACTTGTTCAAGAAGTTCAACTTTGAAGGACAACTTATAGTATTGAGAAACCTCAGGATAATCTCAGCAAGTCAACCTGGAGTGTTAACTTGGCTTAAATATTTGGAAAAAAACGCATTATTTTTAGATTAAAACAAACATTAGATACATTATGGAGTAATGGGGTCTCTGAGAGAGGAGACTAGAAAGACTAGGTTTAGGGCTAAAGATTGAGCATTATCTTTGTGCCAGGCACTGTACTGATCCCTTTGCATTATCTCATGTAGTTCTCACAGACCCTATGGGGTATGTTTCTAAAATGTTCTTCATTTTGCAAATGGGCAAGTTGAAGCTTGAGAGGTAAGGTTGCATGGCTGATGAGTGGTAGAGCTGGGGTTGGAATCTGGCTGCCACACTGAGTGTCCACATATTCAGCTACTTCAGAAGCATTTGTTGAAAACACTTTTCTTTCCCCATTGAATTGCTATGACACTTTTGTCAAAAATCAATTCGCCATCTACGTGTGGGTCTATTTTTGGACTGTCTTCAGTTCTGTTGATCTATATATCCCTTTTTTTCCACCATGGCACACTGCCTGGATCACTGTAGCTTTATAGTGCTTCTTGGAATGTGGTAACTTAAGTCTTCCAACCTTGCTCTTTTAACTTGCTTTGGCCATTCTAGGTTGTTCAAATATCCATAAATTTTAGAATTATCTTCTCAATGTCTATAAAAAGGCCTGCTGGGTTTTTGTTTGGGATTGTGGTCATTATGAGGATACTTTTTTAAAAAAGGAATTAGTGAGGATTGGATCACATTTCATATAGACATTGAAGGAAATTGCACTAAAGTGTGTGACTGCAGTCTGCAGGTTGCTAACTTGAGTTACAGGGTAAGGCAGGTAAGGGAAACGGGCAGAGAGATCAGGAATGAGATGTAAACACTAGCCGATCTCAGGCCCTAGTGGAGGAATAATAAGGTACAATGAGGAGCTGGTCAAACAAGAGAGCCTAGGACTGGCTGAGGGGGCCGTCACTCCTCAGCTCCGAGCGTTTTGCCATGCAAGAATATGGGTTCAGGATTGTCTGAGCTCTCAGTGAAGAGAAGCTAGAAATCTGGATTTTTATAGTCTCCCAATTTTAAAGTTAATATCTAAAACATTGAGTGGGTCAATATCATGGGTCTCAAACAGAACTCTCCAGGGCAAGTGCAGCCTACCACCTGCCAGTCTGTGGCCTCAGCCTCAGGCCAACCATCTTTGGTCCTCATTTTCATTATCAGTAAGTGTGACAGTGTCGCAGACAGTCTCTAAAGCTCTTTCTGGTTCAGTGATTCTACATCTCAAAAGAGGAAAATACCAAAACTTCTCAAGGGTTTAGGAGGTAGTTGAAAATATCAACAATAATGATATTCTGAGAAGTTGTCCAGAGCTTTACATTTCACATACCACTGTCCTGTCTGTTCTTTTTTTTGTGAAGTAGACAGCAGAATAATTTGCCCAACTGCATGGCAGCTCCAGGTTACAGAGCCAGGTCTTCTAATTCCAAAATCAGTGCTCTTTCCACTGCAGGTAGCTGTTTCTGAAGGCTATAGAAATAGGCACTTCAGGAGGGAGAGCAGGTGTGGGAGACTGTTGAGAGGGCCTTCAGCTTGGTGGAAGGCAGGTCTCTAGCTACATGTAGAGCTTAGCTTGGACAAAGCATCCATTGAGGCTGTGGGGTAAGAGTTGAAGCTTTGTGAAAACTCTCCAAAGGCAGGAATTGGGGGTACGTATTCATCTTTGTAGGCCAGTGCCTGGCACAGCACCTGACTGACAGTTCAAAGTTTTTATGTAAGTGAATAAATGGATGACTTGATGGAAGAAGGAATCAAAGGCTTTAGATCAAGAGGAGTGAGAGTTTTGTCCAGAACATTTCAGTCAAATTCTTCGGATAAGTGCTTTGAGAATGTTAAGATCAAAGGCTGAGACTTGGTTCTTACAGCTCAGCGGGTAGATGCGAAAGCTCAGTCACCACGTCTTCCTTCTCTGCTCTGACTCTCAGATCTCAGGTCATCTCCCAGGGAAGTATGTTGAAGAAATCAAATTCTGTGGGTCTAAGGAAATTGTATGCCTCTAAACTTCCAAAGAGATATAAGTCCTTATCTTTTGGAGTTGCATGTTGAAAAAGATGCATCAAGATTAGACCTAAATTGGGAATATTGCTGAAGCTGGAAGATAGCTAGATGCAGTTTTGTATATATTTGAAAGTTTTCATCATAAGTACAAAAACAAAAAATCAGAGAGCTTCATAGGCTTGGCAGTGCTTTTGGTCAACCAAACCTCACTTTTCTCGGAGCTTGTAAATAGTACGATCGTTGAGGGGGAAATGAAAAAAAAAGAAGAGGAAAAGAATATGGCAGAAATAAGAAAGAATGTGGGTTTTGAGTTAGACCACCATAGCTCGGCTTCCTGTAGTTTTGTGACCTTGCGCAAGTCTCTGAGCTCCCCTAAGTCAGGGTTTCCAGGTCTGTAAAGTGGGACAATGCCATCTCCCTCAGTGGTTGTGGCGAGGGTTAGAGATGAAGTGGGCAATAGAGACTCAGATCTGGTAGTTTTTTAATGAGGCAAAAAGTAATGAAAGGGTAAAAATCTGCCTTGGGGTTCCTGTGTACCCTGTCTTCCCAACACGAATTATAAGTGCCAAGGATTATATAACCACGGAGGTAATTTATTATTTTAGAAAGAGAACTCTTAAAGACCAAATTGGACCACTTTGGGGTTTACAAGAACTGTAACCAGTTTATTGCCTTTTGAAAAATGAAGCAAGGAAGAACTTGCAGGAGAAAGGCATATTGAAACAGTGGAATACCATTGTATACCTGTGGAATTGGCCTCCTTCTGCACCCCAGTTAAAGATCATATCCAGTGTTGGCGAGGTTTCCGGTGAAGCTGTTTTCTCATATATACATTGGTGTACCCTTTGGGAAAGCACTTTGGCAGTGTGTGCTGAGAGCCATTGAAAGGTGTGTACCCAGAGACTTAGTAATCACTCTTTGGAATCTGTCCTTTGGAAATAATTCAGAAGAAGAAATGTTATGTTGCCATTAAGTATCATTGTATTGTATAGAAAAGGCTCAGAGTTGTACCTGTGTTATGATTACTACTACGCCATCATTACACATAAAGGGGAGTGACTGGGAAAGAACATGGGGAAGGGAGAGTGGTTATGTCACCGAGTCGTAGACAGGAGCTTAGTTTTTCTTCAAGAAATCCTCTATCGCTGTTAAAGATTGTACCTGCATGCCTACACAGACACACTTTGAAGACCTTGCGAGAGGTGTCTTTACTATGATGGCACGCAGGACATTTGAAACATGGGTAAATTCTTTCCAAAAATAGACTAATCAAAAACCACCAAGCACCGGAAACCTGACAGTTTTAAGTAGAGAAGAAATTGAAACCAAGACTTTCATTCTTCAAACATTTCACTATCAAACAGAATAATCTCATGCTTTCTCCAGACCTTTGCTGTCATCTCTCAAAGTCTGGAAATCTCTTTGTTTCCAGGTTCAATTTCAGAAGCTTCAGCAACTGCGCCTGACACAGTACCATGGCGGATCCTTACCAAATGTGAGCCAGCTGCGGAGCAGTGCCTCGGAGTTTCAGGTATCTCCAGATATTTACTTCTTCAAACCGAGTGGACTGTAAAAAGATAGGCAGAGATTATCCTTAAAAACATTAGATCTTGAAGGATAAACCTGGCCTAGATACAGTTCAGCCTTCTTCTGGGCACACCATCCTTGTTCTTTCCTAGTTTCTGCATTGTAAGATAGTATGATTTCACCAATGTCCAGTAGGAACAAAGTGTAAGCCACATATGTATTGTGATTTAAGCTTTTTCAGTAGCTACGTTAAAGAATGAATTCTATTTTAATAACTTAAATAACTATTTAATTCACTATGTCCAAAGTATTATAATGTCAACATATAATCAATATAAAAAACAGTGATGAAATATTTCACATTCTTTATTTTTTGTATTAAGTGTTTGAAATCTGGTGTGCATTTTGCACTGAGACACATCTCAGTTTGGAGTAGCCACACTTCCCTGCCTTCTGTGTCCAGTGTCTGCCACATTGCAGGGTGCAGACGTGAGGCGCAGACCAGTGTCCCTATTGCCGCAGGTGCTTTCATCATGTTGTTGCACCTGTTAGTTTCCTAGGGCTGCTCTAATAAAGCACCATAAACTGGGTGATTTAAAACAATAGACCTGTATTCTCTCCCAGTTCTGAGGATGTCCGAAATCAAAGTGTCTACTGGCTGCATTCTCCGAAGGCTCTAGGGGAGAATCCTCTTCTAGCTTCTGTCGGTTGCCACCAGTCTTTGGCGTCCTTCATCTGCCTCCATTGCATATGACCTTTTTATGTTCATCTGTCTCTGTGTTCACATCTCCCTCTCCCTTCCCTTATTTAGACGCCAGTCATTGGATTTAGGGCCCACTCTTGCCCAGTATGACCTCATCATAACTTGGTTACATCTGCAAAGGTTCTCTTCCCCAGATTCTCAAGGTCACATTCACAGGTACTTGGCATTAGGACTTACACATGTCTTTGTTGGGGAACATAATTCATACTGCTACGTTGCATTTATCAGTAGTTCATTTCTTTTTTTTATTGCTGAGTAGTATTCCACTGCATGGAGGTGCTGCAATCTGTTTAGTTATTCATAAGTTGGTGGGCACTTGGATTGCTTCCACCTTTCGGCAATTGTGAGTAAAGATATTGTAGACGTTCACACACGGTTTTGTGAAAACACCTAGTAGTGGAACTACAGGCTCATATGGTAAATGTGTATTTTATTTGATCAAAAACTGCCGTACTGTTTCATGGGTTCTGCTCTTCTACATTCCCACCAGCAATGTGTGAGGGTCCCAGTGCCTGCCATCTGTCTCCTCCAGCACTTGGTTCTTCAGGTTTTTTTAAATTGTGGTAAAGAACACAACATAAAATTTACCATCTTAACCATTTTAAAGTGTAAGTCCAGTAGCGTTAAGTATATTCACATTATAGTACAACCAACCTCTAGAACTTTTTCATCTTACAGAAATGAAACTCTGTACCTATTAAATAACAGCTCCCCATTCCCATTCCCCAGCTCCTGACAACCACCATTCTACTTCCTGTCTCTGAATTCGCACGTTCCAGGGACCTCATATAAGTGAAATCGTGCAGTACTTGTCTTTTTTTGATTGGCTCTTTCACTTAGCATAGCATAATGTCCTCAAAGCTCTTCATATGTAACATGTGACAGGACTGCCTTCCTTTTTAAGGCTGAATAATATTCCTTCTTTTGTATAAACCATATTTTGTTTATCCATTCATCCACTGAGGGGCGTTTGGTTTGCTTCCACCTCTTGGCTATTATGAAGGATGCTGCTGTGTATGTGGGAGTGTAGCTGTCTCTTCCAGAACATGATTTCAATTCCTTTGGGTATATACCCAGAAGTGGGATTACTGGCTTATATGGTAATTTTATTTTTAATTTTCTGAGGAACTCCCAAACTGTTTTCACAATTGTTATACCATTTTACATTCTCACCAACACTGTACAAGAGTTCTAATTTCTCCCCGTCATCACCAACGCTTGTTATTTTCTGGGTGTTTTTTTTTAATATTAGTCATCCTATTGGTGTGAGGTAATGGTATTTCATTTTAAAAAATGTTTGTCTTTCTACTACATGTGTGGTGCTATCTCATTGTGGTTTTAATTTGCATTTTCTTAGTGACTGATAACATTGAACACCTTTTTGTGTGCTTGTTTGCCATGCTTGTATCTTTGAACTGTCTCTTCAAATCTTTTGTCCAGTTTTCAAATTCGGTTGTTCATTTTCTTATAATTGAGTTGTGACAGTTCATTCATTACATATTTTGGATACCCTTTCTTTATCTGATGTGTATATTGAAAATATTTTTTTCCAGTCTATGGCTTGTCTTTTCATTTTCTTAACAACAAAAGTCTTGAAGAGCAGATGTTTTAAATTTTGATGAAGTCCAACTTACCATTTTATTCTTTGATGATTTGTGCCTTTATTAAGAACTCTTTGCTTAACTCAAGATCAGGAAGTTTTTTCAAACTCTGTGTGTTCATACTAAAGTTTTATAGTTTTAGGTTTTTACACTTAAGTAACTTCAGGTTAATTTTTTAATGAAGTACAAAGTATAGGTTGAAGATCACTCTTTTTGCATATGGACGTTGACTTGTTCTAGCACTGTTTGTTGAGAAGAGTTTTCCCTATTGAATCGCCTTGGCAATTTTGTTGAAAATCACTTGACCATATATGTATGGGTCTACTTCCAGATGGTATCATCTGTTCCATTGGTCTCTGTATCTGTCATTTTGCTAAACGCTGTCTTGATTTCTTACCTTTCCAGGAAGGCTGGGAATCAGGCAGTGGGAGACCTAGACCTCCAACTTTGCTCCTTTTCAGAGTTGTCTTGTGTGTGTTAGTGTCTTTGCTTAGCTTCTCCATAAAATTTTAGAATCAGCTTGTTGATTGCTACAAAAAAGTCTGCTGGGATTTTAAATGGGTTGCATTGAATCTGTAGAACAGGTTGGGGAGAATTGATAGCTTCCTAATACTGAGGCTTCCAATCCATGAACATGGTGCAGAAGCACAGGTTTTGACTCAAGTTAAGTTGCTTATAATTATTTAAACACAATCCACTTCCTTTTATGTTTTAGATCACTTTGGAGTTTATAGAATGCTTTCACATCTGTTATTTTACTTGATCTGTACTACAACATTAGTTGCTAAGCATAGTACTATTTTAATATTGGTTAAAGACCAATTTTCTATCCTCATGGAGGATCTAAAAGCACATTGTTTTCCCATAACCCACTGGGCCTCATCAGAGAACACAGACTTATCAGATGAGTAAACCAAAGCAAGCCTTTCAGGCTGCCTAGTGATAATCCTCAGCAAGGGGCCGGTCGGTCGTCAGTCAGGGAGGGCTGGAATCACAGCCCTCCTATCTCCAGGCAGGACCTGGCCTATGGACAGGAAGGACTAGAGGAGGAAGTGGGCATTATCTTCTTCCCTGGGGGCTAGGGCTGTCTCTTCTAGGTAGGGGACGGATAACAGTTCTCTAACCTGTTCCAGCCTGCAGAACAGCTAAGGCACCTGTTGGCTGGGTGGCATGGAGGTCAGCTACAGAGAGAGGGACAGAGGGCTTCTCTTTGTCTGGGACTGTCTGGCTATAGTCGCAGGCTTTTGTAGCCTTCATATTACCCACCTACTGCTTTCCAGTTGCACGACAAAAAATGAATCATACTTTATACATTTCTGACTACTGCATTTTAACAAAATTGCATCCTCTTGTTTACAGCTCAGCATTTATGAGTTTTAACTAATGTAGGAGACAATCTGGTGGCCAAAAGTAGAAAAAGCCCTGTTGCACGGCAGTAAGGCTTGGAGGGCCAGGCCCAGAGCGGCAACTTCCAGAGGCCCCCCACCAACACATGTGGGTGTAAAGAGGCCATGAGTCTGCATGGCAAGAGCGTAAGGGAACCAGCACTTATCTGTCAATGCCCTTGGCTTTTCTTTGCTGCCTTTTCTTTTAAATTTTTAAGATTCTTTAAAAAAATGGCAAAAGATACGGTTAAATTCAAACAAATGGAAAACATAAGTAGCAATAGTGATCTCAAAATACTACTAGTACTAATAGCCAACATTTATTGACTGTGTGTTTGTTCCGGGAGCTACATTAAGCTCTCTACACAGATTATTTAATCTTCACAAAACCCCTGGGGGTTGGTATAAGTATTTGGTAATTGTCATAGCATTATTTGACTTTTATATGATGAAATAACATAGCATACATTACAGAAAGCCAAAACTAGTGAAATATTCTAAACAAAGATAAAGGAGAGTGATATTGTGAACAAATCAAAATTACTATGTACAAAATTTGTTCTCCATAATTTATTCTCTAAAAAGGCAAGATACCTTGCCATTGCTCCCTTCATCCTCAAGCAGCTTTCTTAGCAGAAAATCCAGTCATGGCCACATAATGGCGTACCAGATGTTGAGAGCTGCTTCTTTGAATTTCAGGCGTATCATAAGTAACATATCGACACCACCACGCGTAACCTAGAACACCTTCACTCTCCGTACTGGAAGCTCGCCTCTCTGAGCTCTGCTGGGCTCTTGTCCTCCTCCCTGCATCTGCGCGAGCAAACGGACCCTGGGAGGGGCTTGTATTTTCCTGCTCCCTCCCTCTGAGGGAGGAGTTAACTACACTTCTTTTTCACTTCTCATTAATTGATAGATACGTAATAAATTCAGCAGATATTTCTTGAGCACCTACTATGCCAGCAGGAATATAATATTTCTCTATAAGGCACAGAAAACATAAGAATGAATAAATCCATTCCTGCACAGAAGACAGTGGCCCTGTTAGTCCTTGTTTAGCGCCATCAGCTCTCTGTCCTGAGGCCGGGCAGCCTGCGTGGGCCCCTGCCCCTCACTGAAGGGGGGCTGCTCTGCCTGAGGCCATGAGCGACCAGGGACTCTCAGAGCCTATCCCACAGTGGTTATATCTTGAGTCACAGATGAAAGAGTCTTCACAGAGACATCAAAACAGCCTCTTGCGCCGTGTATTGGTCTT